TGCCAAACCATGCTAATGCCTATACCCGATTTCTGGTGGTGCTAGGCAGATGAGAGACATTGACTTCCCGTTCATTGCAGGTTACCCCCCCCCCCCAAGCATAGGCTTGTACCCATTAAATTACAGCTAGATGGACTGAAACATTGCAGATAGTGCCCTTTCCAATGATCTAAATTACAGCATCAAAAGCCCTCGACAGGGCTTGAATCAGCAACTTATGGGTTACTGACCTAACACCTATGACTGTGTGCGATGTGCTCCACTGTTTGCACTAATTATTTTAAAATTGTTCTACAAATACTCAACATTTTTCTTAGACTTATAATCTTTAAAACTCACGTTTTTTTCTACGTTGTTAATTGGGCTGGTATAACTGAACATTGGTGAAATATTCATGCATCATATTATGTAACAGGAGGAGTAAAGGTGAAACAGACCTATCCAGAATTCCTATCCTAACCCCTTGACCTCTAAACAAACCTGTCCGACTGCCACACTTCTCCTACTCTAAATGTTTTCCCCATCGAAGACATCAACCTAACATTATCCCCCGATCTTCCGCTGTCACATACATATAACTAACTTCTTGGGAATGGTCAATATGGCACAAAATGTAATAGGACAGACAAATAACTTAACGAACTAATCAATATTGAATATGGCACAACATGTAATAGGACAGACAATAACGTAACGAACTGGTCAATGTGGCACGAAATGTAACAGAACGGATGATTAATGTAACGGACTGGTCACTATGGCATATAATGCATGTAACAGTACATTGACGAATAATGAAATGGACTGGTCAATATGGCACATAATGTAACAATTAAGTCTGATAGATATGGTAATGGACCGGTCGGCGGGGATTCTTACTCCTTCTTTGCACTAATAGCAGGGTGTGGTCATAAATATAAAAGGAAGGAAGAATAACATAATGCTCTTGCATACACCTGTAGAGGGTGCTTACTTCTCCTTGGCACCTGATCATGATCCCAGTTTTTTCCCCTAAATAATTAGTTCAGGTACTAACTGATATCCTGGAACCTGATTGTCCGTCACATTCGTATGAAATAAACTTTCAAATAAAAAATTCTTGACACAAGGAAATAATTAATTAAAGGAAAATTCTGACCGCACGGCTTTGTACAGATTAATCTGAACAAGCTACTGACAGACACGATATAGTTGAAAAAGTAAATATAGAGAATTTCATACATTTAATACTGGGGGGGGGGGGGGGGGGCATATTCTGTTTCCTTATTCATGTTATTCTAAAATATCATCAGAATCAGCTACTGACAGACACGATGTAGTTGAAAAATAAATATAGAGAATAATAAAACAGAGAAGGGGAAACTTGTATCACTATGTATAAACCATATTCTGCTTCCTTATCTTAGAATCTCATATCAATATAAGTCCTCTTTTCCGTTGAATCAACATCCTTGATTCTCAACTCACAGATCAATACAGCTTCCTGCAAGAGGCTGGAAAGAAAAATATCAATTGTGTCAAACTCCCAGCTCATCCAGACATTGTCTTTTTCACTCAGAAGCTTAAGTTTCCTAAAAATGCTAATATTATTTTTTCTTAAATGATCTTAACGTTTGATGAGTGTGAAACCAATGGATTTCAGAGAGAGTTTGACATTTAAGTAGATCTTTAATCACAAAGCAGAGCATTTAGTGAATTAAAAGCTTTTTTTTCATTTGCATTGTTTTGTTTCCCCCTTTTTTTAACAATAAACTCACCAAATGATACAGTGAGATTCTGTATGAGTTACTAGTAATTGTTTTCTTATTTACTGTTAATTTGTAAATGAGTGTTGTTGTAGCAATTCTTTTGAGAAAAAAATTAAGATGCATTAACATGCATTTTAACATCGTTTTAAGCCAGGTTTTTAAATGATTTAAAGATTGAAGAATAAGAACATTGAATGAAAGGGAGGGCCGGGGTGGAGGTAGGTCAGTATTGCTATGGAATCCTTAACTTATTAGGAACCTCAGGTTCTTCCTACATGTAGGTTAATTTATGCACATAAAAATACTTTATTTTATGCACTTCTTAGGAGAATGTTTAATGAAAAAATGAAAGTCGTGCTAGATCCAATAGATCTCTCTCTCTCTCTCTCTGAGACATCAGAGGGGTAAGCATCCCCTGACGACCGGTCCGTGTGTGTCCTGTCATGATCGAGCAAACGGATTAAATCCGTAGACAATTCAGTAATAATAATGGCCTAACAGTTTGTATGAACGACGTCAGTCAACATTCGATTAAAAAATACGTATTTGTAGATTGTATTCTTTGACAAGGTCATTGCATCACCCATATATTTGCAAAATGTTGACTTTAAACAAATCTGTTTACAATACATTCTTGTTTCATCGATTTATTTGTCAGTAGCTTAATTGCCTCGTTTCAAATGTTATTGGTAGAGCATGCTTGTACATGTATATATATCATTCATTCTGGCTATACATTTTATACATGTTATATTTGTTCAAATCTAAATCTTCTTATCTTACCATCATTGGATTTTAAAAATATTGCTTCGGCTGTTTTTGCACAAACACTGACCTGCAAGAGTTTATCTTAAATGAATTTTGAGAGAGAAAAGCAGTAAGGGGAGAGCAACCGAGAAGAAATTCCTTGACAGGGCAAAAAATATAATATTCGGATGTTAATATTGCGGGGGACACAACCATGTCTGTGTAACAGAGACATTTATGTGCCTGTGCTGGGGATTGAACCCGGGGCCTCTGGCTAGCCAGTCTATAGTGCTCTACCGATTGAGCTAAAGGGTTAACCCACTAGCCCAAGCTAGTAGGAAGCCAATTATCTTACACTACCACATCTGTATAGTATACTAGTATCTTGTCTCATTATTTGTTGGTCGCCTGCGTGGCGCAGTGGTTAGAGCGTTCGCTCTAGAGTCGCGGCAGGCGCGAAGCTGCCTATACGCAAATACGCAAGTGCGTACACATCATTTTCAGAAAAAAAGATCAGAAAAAAGAGAGAATTATTCGGAGAAAAAAATTTCAGTACATCCAACAAATATTCGTGTATCAAATTATTCTGTGTCATACTGTGTCGATTTAAATTTTAAATTGTCATGACTGTATGATAAAATTTGACATCTTTTATTTAATAACTGTCAAATCCAAATAAATCAATCATTATGTTGTCATTGTAAAGATCTTTGAAAAAATAAATTTCAGCCACATCGTTATATGCTATTATCTACTAGTATGATTTACAATACGATTTTTTTTGTTCATAATTAAGTGTTTTTAAACGTTAAGAATGATTATATGATACCAGTTAATATATCGGTTAAATTTTAGCCTCAATTATATGTACAATAAGTTTCCATGGAATATCAATTTTCGTTAAAACAATAAATATTACTATGTCTTTTATTTTCTGAACAAAAACTAAATGGCATAATTTTTATATTTCAAGAAAATGAATGAAATATTTGATAAAACTCCGGAGCTTCTGGGTCCTCACCATCAGGCACGTAGTATCAGGGGAGCCTCCCCACTATTTATTCCCAAAACCTAACCTTTTACTATTGAAAAAATGTAAATTGAAAGGGTGGACCCCCACTGTTTGTTGCACCATTGTTAAATCATGGTAATTTGGTAATGTATTAATAAATAGTTGGTTTGTGAAAAATGGACACCCCCCCCCCTTCAACAAACACACACACACACTAGAAATAGGACTTCGAATTTTGATAATCTTCCTTTTTCATCCTTGCTTAACAAAATTTTTTAAGTTGCAATTTTTCCTGCCTGGCAAAAGCTATATTACGTGCCTGGCCTTAAACACTGGGGTTGGGGGGGGGGGCTCAAGAACCCCTCCCCCCTGCCGTTCTCTGCGTACACTTCATATCTATTCTGGCTACGCGTCTGCGCGGAGTAAGGAGTTGATCCTTACGTCGCGGGTTCGAATCCCACTGTGGGACGTGGAGACCGGTCCTTCGGATGAGACCGTATCAACCGAGGTCCCGTGTCGCAGTAGGTGCTGGCACGAAAAAGATCCCTCACTGCTCAATGGCCCTAAGTGCCGAGTATAGGTCAAAATTTGTAGCTCTCCACCGGCAAGTGGTGACGTCTCCATATGAGTGAAAAATTCTCGAGAGGGACGTTAAACAAGAAACAAACAAACAAACATTATTTGTTGGGGGTGGGGTGGGGGACGCGTGTATACACAATCATATACATATCTCCAGTTTCCACATACTGAGAAGTATATAATTGTTGATTATTTAAGTTTAAGGCTTTTCTTTAAATCATCGAAGCCACTGACTAGGGTGGCCTATTCCATTTCTGCCAGCAACTGTTTGCACATTTTCGGTTATTTCAGGAATTTGGTATCTAAATCATCTAAAGGCAAAACGGAGCATTTTATAAATAAAAAGTTAATGCAATATTCAAAATTAAAACATGTATCTCTTTAGTTCTGATAAGGCCTGTATGCAGTGGCAATGAATTTATTCTCATAAACTGACATTAAGTACAGTGTAGAGACACAACTATAGTTAAATAAAGGGGAAAAAAAACACCAAGTCAAAAACTAACAATTAATGACCTAACCAGGAAAGCCAATTCTATCAAAGATAATTTTTATACACAATTTTATCTATTTAACTGTATTTTTTGTATTAAACAGTTGATCAGTTGACATTATCGATAACATAAAGTGCATATTAGAATACCAAAATAGGGAAAAGGTGACTCGAACCCAGATTTTAAAAGAAAAAAAAATGCAAGGGGGGAGGGGGGGGGGGTCCATACCCAAAGTGCCTGTGATTTTATTATCATCGTAAATTTCAGGATTGCGTAAGACTGTGCCAAACTATTTATTTATTTATTTATATTAATTAATCAATTTATTTTTATTTGTTTGTTTATTTATTTATTTATTCATTTATTTATCGATTTTAGATTGTGCAAATAATATCGGGATCGAGATTTCTGTAGCCCACATCAAAACATTCGAATTTTCTCTATCGCATTCCTGGGTTCAAGTCATGGACGATGGTAAGGTTATATACTAAGCTCATGATAGGGCTAGGTTTTCTTGCCATTAGTGCCATCGAGATATATACTATTATAAAATGTTACTGGTAAATAAAATGTTTAAGTTAAGGTTCCATCTTATAAGATATCAGGTTCAGCAGTAAACAATCTCTTGCATTACACTGTAGTCCGAAATATCTGACGCTTTCCAGGCTATTTTCAAGATTTTGATGGGAAAACTCAGGAGCCCGTTTTACAAAAGAACTTACAATTAAGACTAAAAACTTAGTTGGTAGTAAAATTTTGCAAAATTAAAGATTCTGTTTAAAACTGCTAGCATAAAATATCTTCTTAATTTCTCTTAAAAAGATTCAGACCATTTTCAAATCAATGTAAAATAAAAAGTTATATGCATAATTAAATTTTGGTCTTAGTCCTAAGTTCTTTTTTAAAACAGGCCCCAGAACCGGCGCCATTATGAAAACTGTGAATTTCGCCGACTTCAACTGGAGCTGATTTTCGATACTTGCGAACTAAATTAAATGTTAAAGTCACAACTTATCAATTGCAAAATGCATTTAGTACTCACCAATATTGATGAAAAGAAAATATCAATCCACATTTAAATACAACTCTTCAAGATGCATAAAATGAAAACAAACCTCGATAGTCTGAAAAAATGTTTTCTACAGACTTTATATTTTATAAATATTCCATAAAAACAATATTGATGAGTACTGGAAGTATTGTACTATTGATAAGTTGTGATTTCAGCATTTACTTTGGTTTGCAAGTATCAAAATTTAAACAAGAGAATGCCACCTCCAGCTACATGAGCTAGAGGTTGCGAATTTTCAGTTTTCGTAATGACGCTGGTTCTGACGTTTTCCTGGCACATAAAATATTAAAATCATAAAAAAAGCTTGAATAACGTCAGATATTTCGGACTAATTACACTGTAACTGTGTAGCTTGATTTTATTTCAGAGACACAGGCACTTATTTCCCATGTAGGTTATCCCGTAAACGAAACAAGTGCATGTGATTAAAATACATCTTTTTTTATAATATACAAAATGTAGAAATTATGTCCCTATTGTCATATTCATTTTTTTTTAAAATTAGACTTGAAAAAGCAATCCAAATACAGTTAAAGCATTTCTGCTTCTGAGCACATTCTTAATCATGTTAATTAAAAGATTTTTTAATTGATATAGTGACTGTACACTAATAGACTGATCAGTCTGTTCGTGAGAAAATAATCTTACACAGAGGTGGACATTAACGTTTGATATTTGTCAGATTGTCGGTGCCCAGTAAGGGCCAGTTCATTTGTGATCAAACAAGAAAATCTCCAGACACATGCATCTGATTGGGCAAGCTACTTTTCAGACAATTATGGAGTATTTAAAATGTGTCCCTTTCTTGATAATACAAGTTATCAATGCTGTTTAGCATTAACAATTCATGATTGCATTTACTTGTGTGGTACAGATTCCCAAACTTTCAGCCATTTCAGGCCTTATACAACTGGTCATGATATTGTCCTCTCTCTATTATATAAATTTATGATTTTCCTTAAAAAGATAATTACATTTAGCATATCTAACCCTGGCATTTTATTTCTTAACAGATGATGTTCCTCCATTGGAGGACATGTCAGAAATCTTACAACAAGCAGAGGTTATCAGGTCAAAGGTTAATAGTTCACAGGGTAAGCAGTCTGTTGACCCCAGCCCTAGGGGGGCAGTTCCACAGAAGGACCAGGATAACAAGGTAAGGGGTGGTACATATAATGGACATTTCACTCACACATCCATTGTACAATCTAAATCCAGAAATGATGTACCTGAATCATGTTTAATCAATGCTGTAAAATTTGATGAAAGATCGATTATTTGGATTTATTTACAGCCACTGTGGCTAGGCTAAGTAGAGGAGTTATAGGGGAGTCAAAAGCTTGTATGATGAGATAAAAAAAAATGAAAATTGTAGGAGTGAAATTTCCCTTCAAAATTTTGTGGCAATTTGTTCTAAGCTTATTTTCAGCTCATTTGTCCATAAGTGTCGATGTCATTATTGATTGAGATTCTTACTGGTATAAAATAATATGTTGATGATGCGACCTTTAGGGTGAGCGCAGATACTTAATCAGTTTTAATTTAGATTGGGCTAGTCAAACTGCACGTGCCATTTGCTATCTATAAACTCACTTCACATGACATCGTATGTATGTTGCATTACCAAATCGAAGTCTGGACAGTGCGAATTTAATCAAAAACGTTTAATTTACTATTTATCTGCTTTATGTCCATTAAACATGTTAAAATCAAGATTAGTTTATTTTTTCTTGAAACGTCTTGTTACACCGAGAACATAGTTTGCAGCGAGATGCATTTTGCTAAAGACTATGGGACCACAAGTAACTGCGGAAATAAAATTGATTGGATCAATGTGCAAAGTCCAAAATTTCTCTTCGCCCAGGCTTTGTTTTAAGAGCTCACAGTGATGAGCAGTGCTTCAGGTTGCTCACTGCACTTGCTATTAAGCTGAATATTAAAAATTAGGAAACACCAAATTTAAGAAAAATGTGGACTTTTATTTTTTCTAGAAACCATTGGAAAAATCATCAGATAATCAAAAGGGGAAAACAACTGAGAAAAGTGTGAAAAATGCACCCTCCAAATCTTCTTCAGCCAGTTTTGGAGGGTTCAAAAAAGGATTTTTATTTGGAGGAAACAGTTCTTCAAAGGCAACAAGTTCATCTTCTTCAGGATCAAGTGCCAAGAGTTCATCTGACCTTCCTTTTATAACCAAGAAGTCTACGAGTGATAGCCGTGAACTACCAGAGGTTCAAAAAACATTGACAGAAGAGGCTCAGAAAATAGCACAAAACAAAGGTAAGACCAGTTCAAAGAATAAGAATAGCAAATAAAGAAATTAAGATTATTGTGAAAAATAGCACAAAACAAAAGTTAGATTGACAGCAAAGCACAAATTATAGCACAAAAAAGCACTAAATGAATGGTAGAAGCACAGAATATACATGTAGCAGAAAAAAAAAGTAAGATTGACAGCAAAATCACTTAGAATATTAGCACAAAACAAATGTAAGACTGTGTACATTAATCAGCATGCAGAACAATTCTGTATACCTTGAATAGTAAAAATTCAGCATGCATTACATTACATAGTTCATAAGTTTTATAATGATTTGTTGTGTTGAGGTAAACACAGTCACAAGCCATAGATTTCGTACAAGCCTTCTCAGTGTCAGTTGATTAACTAATGATTGCCCTTGGGGAGTTGGGCAGGTACACCCTGTTAGATCAAATTCAAATTCTTCCAGATAAGAAGGAATCTAATGAATGTATGATCTTATTTGTTATCAAACAGACGAGTGGTTGACTGCTGATCTCATGAAGAAGATCGAGGCTAACGATGCGCTGTTTAAGAAACTGGGAGATCCTAAGTATGTAGAGGCAGTTAACCAGTTCCAGACAGATCCAGTCAGAGCCATGGAGCAGTACAAAGACAACAAGGAAATCCAGGACTTCCTCACCTCATTCTGCAAAGTCATGGGTAAATTATTACCACAGGGAGTCATGGGTAAATTATTACCACAGGGAGTCATGGGTAAATTATTATCACAAAGAGTCATGGGTAAGTTATTATCTCAGGGAGTCATGGGTAAATTATTATCACAAAGAGTCATGGGTAAATTATTACCACAGGGAGTCATGGGTTAATTATTATCACAAAGAGTCATGGGTAAATTATTACCACAGGGAGTCATGGGTAAATTATTATCACAAAGAGTCATGGGTAAATTATTACCACAGGGAGTCATGGGTAAATTATTATTACAGGGACTCATGGGTAAATTATCATCACAAAGAGTCATGGGTAAATTATTATCATAAAGAGTCATGGGTAAATTATTATCACAGGGAGTCATGGGTAAATTATTATCACAAAGAGTCATGGGTAAATTATTACCACAGGGAGTCATGGGTAAATTATAATCACAAAGAGTCATGGGTAAATTATTATCACAAAGAGTCATGGGTAAATTATTACCACAGGGAGTCATGGGTAAATTATTATTACAGGGACTCATGGGTAAATTATCATCACAGGGAGTCATGGGTGAATTATTATCACAGAGAGTCATGGGTAAATTATTATCACAGAGAGTCATGGGTAAATTATTATCACAAAGAGTCATGGGTAAATTATTACCACAGGGAGTCATGGGTAAATTTTTATCACAGGGAGTCATGGGTAAATTATTATCACAAAGAGTCATGGGTAAATTATTACCACAGGGAGTCATGGGTAAATTATTATCACAAAGAGTCATGGGTAAATTATTACCACAGGGAGTCATGGGTAAATTATTATCACAAAGAGTCATGGGTAAATTATTATTACAGGGAGTCATGGGTAAATTATCATCACAGGGAGTCATGGGTAAATTATTATCACAAAGAGTCATGGGTAAATTCTTACCACAGGGAATCATGGGTAATTGTTTTCACAGGGAGCAATTTAAAAGTGATTGATCTTGAAATGGGGGTAAAAGCATAACCAGGCTCTTTATATTTATTTAATTAAGGTAGCTAAACACAGTTTCGTATAAAATCCACGGGTTTTCCTCATAGAAAAGCATGATGGGTAGGGATTTCCCTGCTATTTTTATGCAGTGTACATGAAAATTGCAGCTTTTTTTTATTTTTATTTGTATAAAGTAGAGTCTTATCTTAAGATTAAATGAAAAAATGTTATAAAAATATTTTTTTAAAATTAATTTTTGTGTGACTTTTTAATAGTGGGAGATAACTCTAAAAACACCCATTTTTCACATGTGCAGAATTGCATGATTTGAGTAGCAGGTAAAGTAGGTCTTTAAAAAGCTGGAAAATGTACCCTAAAAGTACAACAAAAAGAAACCTAAGGACTTGTTCTATGAAATGCACAGCACTTATATTTTCTGGTTTCTGTGCTGTTTGTGATCAAGGGAGGTAAAAATGCATAGGTGTACTACAATTAGACGCATAAACTTCCCTATTCCCCCCATGTTTCATGTGTCAAATACACCTTATTAGTAAGTAATAAATGCAATATATTTATATATTTATAAAATTCACCATTTTATCTTTCTATTGATATATAGATGTCTATGTAACAAGTCTTCATATTATTTCTTTATGGGGGTCACTTTAGCATGTACCTCATTTAGTAACGTCATGGTAACATCATACAAAAAACTGTGATTTGCACCCTAAAAGCAAGTTTCTCCTTGTTGGCTTGGTACTAATATATAATTGTAACAATATTAGGGACTGGTGATTTTATAAATATACCAGTAGATCGTGATTTTTTATTGCGCTTTACATATCATGATACAAAGACTTAAATACTGGTATTTAGTACATAAAAATAAGTACCAGTAATTATCAAATTTATTGTCCAAACTTTGAATTGTAATTACTGGATTAAAAAAATGTTGTAAAGCTGTAAAATAATGACATCCTAGCACTCAAACTTGTTTTATTAATTAATTACATGTATATGAATAAAAATGAAAAGAAAAATTTTGTTTTTACACCATATTTGTAAGCAAAATTATGGACTTTAATTTAAAATCACCGTCAAATCCAAAAATAACATGATATTTTGAGAGGGGGGGGGGGGTGGGAATTGCCATATATCGAGATACAAAGTTTTTGGTGATACCCATCTGTAAACCATATCTCTAGCTTACACACAGTGTCTCTGAATCTGTAAATGACTGTCTAAAAAGACAGTTATATAAAGAAATCATTTATATAATTATGTCCATTTAATGCGTATTACTTAGAAATATGGAAAGAGAGAAGCTACATACATTAAAAAAAAAACAGCAATTTGATCAACCGTTTGAATGTGATACAAGGGAGATAACTCTCAAATATATTTCTCTGAAGGTGAACATTTCACTGGCCTTGCTGATAAACAGGACAAAGCAGCAAAACCCAGTAAACCAGCTCCACCGAGTAAAATTGTGGAACTCAACTCAGACTCTGAAGTCAGCAGGGCAAAATCCACACCCTCTCACACCATCAACCCAAACAGGTCAGAAACTTTGTACACAAGGTCACCATCAGAGGGCGCTGATCTGTCAGTCAGGAGCTCCACCAATCCAAATCAGCCTACTTCAGAGGATGAAAGGAGAATGCAGGAGATTCTAGCCAATCCAGAGATCCGTAACATTCTTATGGATCCAAAAATAATGAATCTGATTGAAACTCTGAAGTTTAATCCTGATGAAGGAGCCAGGTAGGAAACCGTTTTTTGTTTGTTTATACAATCAAACTTCATTATCTTGAACTTGATGGGACTGAGAAAAAACTTTGAGATATCTGAGGGTTCCAGATATTGAGGGTAAAATACTTAAGAAATACATGGTTAGGACTTCCTGATGACTTCAACATATCCATGGTATTCAAGATATCCGTGTTCGAGATACTGAAATTCAACTTTATTTCTTGTCATTTACCTCATGCTTGAATATATTGTAGGGGTACATTGTATATAGTGATGGGGGTGTTTGTCTGTTTTATTTTGGTGTAGCCATTCGCAACTCCTTTTACAGCATGCAATTTATCAAAACTATCACAAAATCTTTATTACGTAGTGGAATCATGCATCTCTTATTTTACATTTTGATTGGACACATACAATCATTTGTATTTGGGGTTTCCATGTATTCTCATAGTATACACTGCAACCCTTTCTATAATATTTAGACCGGCCATTTCTTATCAGCAACCACTCCTATACCACTGAATAAAATATAGTAAAACTTCCACAGAATCTTTACTACATAGTGCCATTGTAAATCTCCTGTTTTATGATTTGATCAGACAAATATTTTGGGTTTAATTGCCGTAGCAATCCATGGACTTTGCCATTATACTCAATGAGGGTACCAATTTTGATGACACAACTATTCCTATAAGCCCAAAATGAAATTCTGAGGAACTTTCACAAAATCTCATTTACATACTGGCATGAAGTCCACCTTACCATTATATTCATATGGGAGCAGGGGTATCATTTTGTGAGTTCAGTGCTCATGGTACCTCTAGTTTGTTTGTTCCATATTTGTTTTGTTATGATTTTTTTTTTCATGTTTTCCTCCTTATGTAAGTACATCTTATAGTTAAGACATTTAATAATCTTTATACTGTCTTCATCCATGACTCCATTTATAAATGTTGTTTTCAAAAGCAAAATACATACATATATATATATATATATATATATATATATATATATATATATATATATATATATATATATATATATATATATATGTACCCTGTGCTAAAAATTTTTGTTTAATCTCAAAAAAAAAAAATTGGAAATTATGAGCTGGCAAGTGCTTGATTGATTATGAAAAATAATATAATGTGCATTACTTGAAATCCAGAAATATTGTATGAAGATTTAATCTTAACTTAATTATAACTGATGTACGTGTTAGTAACTCATGCTAAATTATGACCAAAAAATTGTAATACGTACATGTATATTTTTACTTTTGTTTGAATTTTTAAGATAATTTCTAAATGTGTACTTGCAGGATACTACAGAACTCGGACCTTGAACTGAGACAGAAAATCAACAAGTTAGTACAGTGTGGATTACTGCAGTTCCAGGGGTAGAGAAGAGGGAGGGAGAAAATGGAGAGAGAAGAGAGAGAGAGAGATGAAGAAGAGAGAGAGGGAGAGGGTACACACTTGTTTCTGTCATCTGGGCAAGGACTAACTTTTATCACATGATATATTGGCCTGGTTAGTCTCAATGAAACTAATGAAAATTAAACTATATGTTATGGGTGCTGATGCTCCACTGAATATTTTTCTCTCGTGACAAGGAGAACTATTTACAGGACATACTTGCATTTTCCTATCTGCTGATCAATTCAGTGTACAAACTGTAAATTTAGAACACATTATGGTCTCATCTCAGCGACAGACTGAGCTGTAATTTCCACACAAAAAAGCAGTTTTGATTGTGCAAATAAAAAACATAAATGAAATAATAGTTACCTATTACATCACTACTGCATGTTTACTTAAAATAAAACTATTTCAAATTATAAACATGATAAAAAATGGATATATCATGAGCAAAAATAGAAACTTTGACCTTTGTTTCCCACAATATTATTTTCCGCTCTAAATTTTTTTGGTAATCTGGGTTACTTTAATTCTGATCAATCAAATACAGTCAAACCTCGTTATCTCAAACCCGATGGGACCAACAAAAAACTTCGAGATATCCAATAATTCAAGATATTGAAGGTAAAATACTTAAAGAATAAGTGCATGGTTGGGACTTCCAACTCACTTTGACATAGCCGTGGTATTCGAGGTATCAGTGTTCAAGATACCGAAGTTAAGCTGTATTTGAAACAAGTTAACTACCCACTTCTGGATGTATCGACCGGCTTGATTTAATTAATGAAACAATTGTGCCAAATGAGGGAGAGAGAGAGAGAGAGAAAAAGAATTCAATCTAATTAAAGTCAGATCCTCTGCTCCACGTAGCTTGCTACACACCTGAGTAGATCAGAGGATCTGATTTTGATCAGATTGGAGAGAATGTTATAATATTGATATTATTGTACATCACATAATATAATGCTACTGAATTGAAATGACTCCTCAAAATTTGTACTAATTTTTGATGCATAATGTTAATTTTAAATTTATATTTATTTACAATGAAGATCAGAGTGGTTGACTAGATTTGAAGAAAAAAATGTCTCATCTTCTATGATTAGTTGATTACTGTATTGTTAAATGAATTTGAATGCTCTGGAATGTATATGTATTATTTGAAAGCAAGTGCTGTTTCTGTTTTTGGATTATAAATTAAGTACAGTATATGAATTTACCTAAAGTTTAAATTTACATAGTAGTATATGATTTTTTTTTAATTTTCAACTAATTTTCTTTTTTTTCGAAAGTTTTCATATACAGCCTAGTAATATATTTTAAATAGCTACTTTTTTTTCATTCAACAAATAATGGTTATATTCAGTAATTTTCTCATTTGATTTTTATATATTTTTTTTTTTCATTTTATCAGACTTTAAAATTTGTTGAATAAAATTAGGTTTCTGTGAAAAAGTGAAGTAATGTAAGACAGAAAGAGTTATTGTTCTTTATGTGCAAATTAAAAATCTATGTCTCCGTCCAGTTTATATTTTATCTGATTAAACTATATATTTCTTTTGCAATCACTTATTTTCTTTTTTTCCCTTCAGACAAACTCAATAAAAACTGGTACCCTATGACCTTCCAGACGTAGATAGATTTTTTATAAGCTTTGTAATAAAATGTGATAGTCACACCTTGTGCATGTACTCGTATAAGTTATTCCTGTGAATCCTTCAGATATCTCTACATGGACTCTGCGCACATTTTAAAAACAATTCTTATCAACTCTGAATATAAAACCTTTGGGATAACGAATGTAGAAAATTTAATGACAACATCTGAGAGATTTTAGATACTTTTTTTTATAAATATTAGATACAGTCTATACAAAGACATCAAATTAATTAACAGAACTGTGGGGAAAGTCTGATTGGTTTAAGTTTGTCAGGTGCTGAAAAGCACGTGTAGTGTTACAAGACAGTTCAGTATTCCAAGGGGAATAACTCTGCTCACAGCAGATATCCTCACACACGTAAGAAGTCTGAAATTCCTGAATATTGAATGAATCACTGAAATCTGTTGTGTGATGAATACTTGTAGCTGTATCACAGATGTAGGTTTCGCTAGGGAGGGACTGATCACGTGATATCGTCTGTGGAGGACTGGATAATGAGAAAGGCTTGTCCAATCGCCAGGGGACGTGAGAACATTGGGGTCCTGTGTTTGTGGGTCTTTCCCTCAGACCACCAGGGCGGGGCGGTAGATTAGGTCCATTATTTAGAGCATTCCAGTTGACCTGAAAACATAGAACAACACCATAAAAGTTCATTAGTCCTGTCTTCAATCATTTACATATTTTTACGCAAATGATTTTCTAAAAGAAAAGCAATTTAATTAACATGCCCTTTTTTCAGCAATTCTGCAAAATGACTTGAGAATAATATTCATTAACCCAAGTGAGAGTTATCGCTCTTATTAGGGGGCCAATAAATTATTAAAAAATAGATTTAGCAGGTGCGGATCCAGAAATTCTTTCGAAAGAAAAACGGGGGGGGGGGGGGGGTTAAATATCAATTCAGAACTAATCAACTTCCTTAAAGAAGACATTTTCCCATTTTTTCGGAATCACGACATTCCTTACCATTTTAAGAGGAGTATGTGTTTCTGGAGGGGTGAATGGGTCATTTTCTCATTTCTTCTAAGTAAATTAAAAATTCAACTCTGAATATCCCAGGGGTCTTGACACCCCCCCCCCCCCCCCGTCTTAATTAGTGCATGTCTACAATGAATTCACTTTTGTACTTTGATATCAATATATTAATTATTACACAGTCAATTATAAATTGCGAAAAAAAAGAAAACTGAGCAAAGCTCTGCTTAATTCTATAGTGTTTCTGTTGTGTTTATTTATTTATTTATTTTTATTTATTTATCTATTTATTTATTTATTTATCTATTTTTGATTAGAGTGTTTCTTAAGGAAAGAAAGAAAAACAATCCGAAACATTTTACCTGCTGCACTTTAACCATGGAGTTTTCTGTCATCTTTGCGGACTGGCAATATTCCACAAAGTCTCTGTATCCCAGACTTCGACACAGATATTCTATATACCCGATAGCATTAGTCAGAATCTCCATCTTAGAAATTCTTACTTCAGGATCCTGTCCACAGGACGGGACTTTTTTTCGGAGTCTCTCGAAACCTTCGTTCACCGCCCGTATCCTATTTCGTTCTCTTCTGTTTCGTTTTTCTACAAATTCGGAAGGTCTCTGAGCGTGCGGTATGTGCTTGCGTTTTCTTTTAGATTTTCGGGTAACACTTTGATTTTCCTTATTTTGTGATATGCACATATTTGCCGTTATAGTATTGCAGTACATTATAACAACTAACCGTGTAGATCTAAACAAAATCGAGGAATATAGGAAATGCTGATTACTTAGGTAGAACGAGATATTTGTACTTTTTCTTGAGAATTTTATTAGTGTCATCGTTGATTCTCTAAGTATTTTACAAAATGCAGAGTTGGTGTCTTGGAGAGATAATTGTAGAACGGACCAATTCCTGCGAATCTTTAACCATTCTCTACATGTCAGCGCTTAATCGCTAATCGTTATAACAAATCTCGGCACAGTGCGCTTCTCTCGCACCGATATTGCACGGCGCGAAATTAACCCGCGGCGACAAGATTTCTCTCGCCCAATCCATGCTCAAGGTGTCGATCCGTTAAATTTGTATATATGTATGAAAACAAAGGCGATGAAGCGGAGTTCTACAGCTAATTGAATGAAATCACCGTTCATTTGGTATTTTATATCATTCCCGTAGGAAAAAATGGCTTCGATTTCTCAAAATCAGAAGCTCATCGACCCAGGGTTTAGGAATACGATCATGAAATCTTAAATCAAAAAATTAAAATTAAAGTGATTTTTAAATTCATATTTGAAAGTGTGCAGTGGAAACATTTCTTTAGTTATTCAAAATTCGACATTTATAATAAAGCGGAGTGTGGAAACTGGTAACTATGTGAAAATGAGCTTAGAAAAAATAGATTTTTGTAAAATTTGTTCATTGAATGTGAGTTTAAAGACGAATTTCATTTTATTCTACAATTTCATCATACCCTCACAATGAATTATTATTTGAAAAATTATTTAATTCTATAAGAAATAGAGTGTATGGAAATTAATTCATATAATGTAAAGGAACTTCGTAATATCGGAAAAATAATTTTGTAAAGCCCCCCATAGAAATATATTTGTAATAATTAAGAGTTTCTTAATTATAATTACTGATACACGTTTAGCACGTTCTATATACATGTATGTGCAATGTACATGTACTTACTAATTTTTTTTCCATTTTGCTCTCTCTCTCTCTCTCTCTCTCTCTCTCTCTCTCTCTCTCTCTCTCTCTCACAGTGCTTACCTTTTGTAATATAACATGTATTTAGTTACTCTATACTTCAGTGTATATTACAGTACCATGTATTCTGATGTGTCGTTTGACACAAAGAAATAACAATTTTAATAGGATAATAATCTCGCCCTTTGTAATTAGATACAAATTGATTAAATAAAATGAAATAAAGATCAAACTTATAATGCATGCGTGACTCTTTGGCTAAAATTTAATGCATGCGAATGCATTATTAATACATTTGAATATTGAAAGGTTTTGACAGAATCGAAGGACTATTGGATATTTCGCTACCCAATCTTAAGTTTAAAAAAAAAAAAGAGTATTAATTAGTTTTAATCAGGTCATAGTTAATTAGTTAATGAATTCGGAATTTTGGAAGCTTTAACTTGAAACGTTGTACAGTGGTGATATTTACATTATTTACAGCTGACAGGTATATATTTCGTTTGGAATTCACCTTTTGTATGTATATATACGCATGCGAATTAATTTATTTTTTCATTTGCAAGTGGATATAAGTTCTCTCTAAATATAAAATACTACTACTACATTTTTCTTATTTGGTAAGAAATTATAGAACGATAGTTAAGAAATAAAATATTGTCGGTGATTTTGTAAAATTTAACAATAAAGCTATAACTGTACAAAAAAGAGGACTATACCTAAGTTTTTAGAACTTGTGTCCAATTCTTTTGACATATTGTCAGTAAAAATATGTTTAAAACATAAATTAAGGGAACAAAATGAAAATCAAATATAATATAATGTGAATGAGATGTCAATGGAAAATTTCATTTGCAATTATTTTATGATCATAATACCTTTTAAAAAGTGTTTAAAATGAGTCTATAAGAACTTGCGTGCTATTGAAAATTAAAAAAAAAATTGATCCGGTGTACAAATATACAAAATGGGTATACATTGTACAAAATAAATAAACAAAATACGTTTTGATGTTGATTTTGATCTTACAAGACGATTGATTGATCATTGTTGTTTTACGCCGAGTCGGCAATATTTCAGCCATATTTCGGCGGGATATTAAAAGATAGACAAGACAAATTAATAAACTGAAAAAGAAAATCTACATTCATGTCGACCTTAACAGATAGACATAAATGTAGATTTTCTTTTTTTCATTTTATTAATTCGTCTTTTTTCTAAATTACACTACCCAGATTCTGTAAAATGCTTATGAAAGGAGGAAATTAATAAATTGATTGTATTTAATAAAAAAAGGGAAAAAATCCCTATTTGATCACATGATTCAGTTAAGACGTATCACACATGTCAAAAACCATGTCACAAATCGTGCCACTTTTTCACACAAAAATCGGTTGAAGGCCTACATTCCTGTCGATTGTCGCGGTTTTTAATTACCTTCAATGATAATGAACACTCATAATGCACTATGTGATATTGCACTATGTGACATGAAAGTAATTACTGGAAAATGATTCTTATCTTTTTTTCTTCATTTGAGTACATTTTTTAACCAATAATATTATATAATCCTCTCTGCACTTGTAAATTATACATTGATTTCTTTTATTTCTTTAAATATAACGTTAAATCCAAAATTTCTCAAGGAAAATATAGAAATGAGCTAAATAAAAAATACTAGTAATTAAAAAGATTACAAGTAGAGAACTTTCTTTCCTTTAAAAACAAAATCGCGGTAGCATTAATATTGTTTAACACCCAGGGAAAATGTTTGCTGTCTGACTTCTACTGTAGTTTAAAAAAGTAATTTATATGAGAAAGAAAGAATGAACACTTACCCCAACATTGGGACCCTTTTTTATATTGCAAAGAGCATTTTTCCATTAAATATCGCTTATTATACATAGAAATAAAAAAAAAATGACGAAGATATTGTTCCCGATACGGTCACCTGCATCTGTATCCAATCTTGGAAATACCTGAATACCTGTACATGTAAACATACCAAGGAAAAAATGCAATATTGCCAGACCTACGTACTGTCCCTGATATAACTTTGTAATTTGGCTAAGACCTGACACTAAAAAAATATGTAGTCTGAGCATAATATACTTTCAATCGTAGTCGTCATTCACGTAATTGATAGAAAAAAAATCTGCTGGTTAATCGTCACTCTACTTATTCATTTGATAAACAAAACAATTCAATTGAATGAGATCGATAGTCGTTACAATCCGTGACCTTTGACCCATAGAGGTCAGTGACGAAGGAATGCTAAAATATTCAATGATATAATATAAATGGTAAGTAATGCAGTTTTATGTCCCTAAGTCAGTTCGTACATGATGCTATCGAAAATCTCAGTACATTTGAAAATTAGCTTTTAAATCTAACTTTAATATACTTGCATGAATACGTATAGTTTATATGATTAAAGATTTCAGAAATATACACTAAATAATTGTCAGTCATTCTAAACATTTAGAAAAAATAAATATATAGTTTTTTTAAAAGAAAGAGAGAAAAACAATCCTGAATTGAATGTAAACACCAGAAATTGATGCAAGTTTTGATGGATATAATTCTAAAGTTCGACAGGTACGTGTTAATTAATAAAAAATATATCGGTATAATGTCTATCGAATGTCAGAAGTACAAGTCTCATCGTTCGCTGAAATCTCATAACTATAATTAATTAAAAATTCCATCTATGAACCTATTAATTAGAAGAATTGTCAGATTTCCACTTGAACTCGACAAGACCTTAATTAATTAAACCTTGACAACACCGTGTTAAACATGAATTTCCGTTGTTTTCAAGACAGATGAAATAATATATCCGACGAACAATGTCTGTCCTACAATATGCGTACGTTACATGGCCACGACACACGTGGAGCGGGGGAGGGGGCACCCCAATTTAATTTTCCACTTACTGTCACGTGCCGAAATATGAATTTTAGCTCTCCAACTCCACTCCCCACCCCACACGAAATAGGACTGTCGAATGAGAGGGTTTATTTTTGAACTTTTGTTTTTGATTCGTTATGATTGTTTTCTTGTTTTATTATTTTTCCCTTACTTTTGTTTTCTTTATTTGTTTGTCATGTATAGATAACATTATGGCACTCTGACCCCGTTGTCAAAAATTTCAGATATGTAGGTGCCATATGTAATAATCTTATAGATGCAAAATTTTGTCGATTCCTTGATCTATTCCTTTGCATAAACAACTGGAATAATCACACGCCCATGCTATTTAAACATTACTTGACATTTTACTGTTTTAAATAAGAAAATCCTTCAAACATCTGATATAACAGATTGACGAACATGCATAAATCTGTTCTGGTAGCCATGTCAACATTTTGACCATTATGAAGCAGGTTATTTTGAATGTTTCATTGATATTTCAAATTTATACTAGAAAAAAGAAAATGCGCAAGAAAAAAGAAAACGTAAATGGGCATATAATTTTCAACTATAACCACTGTATCTGCCTGCCAGTAATTAATTTAAAAAATCCCACTTATTTTGTACAGGCCCATATGTTCGTATATAGGTACACTGATCAAATAAATGTTAATTAACATATATAATAATCATTTGAACATGTTCAGGTTCAAAATAATTTCTAATACTCGATGTGAAATATTAAACCTGTTGAAATGCGAATACTTTAAAGTTTGAATTTATTTTTAAACAAGCATAAAACTTGTTCTGTTTCATAGCTAAACACTTTCTAATTTTTGAGTGCTCAAAAGTTTCTGCTTAAATAATAAACACTACTGTATACAGGGTTATTTTCGCCCTTTCACACTTGCAAACAATTTTGCCCCGTTTTAATTTCGCCCAGTCACAGATTTGTTTAAGAAATTATTCTTTTTTTTTTCTTTGAATTCGCCCCGTCTTAAATTCACCCACTTATGTCTAAGGCGAAAGGGGCAAAAATAAAACGGGGGCGAATATTTCCCTGCATACAGTATTAGAATTTCTCAACAGTTCTCAAGAAAAATATATGTTATATGTTAAATTTAATTTACAAATTTATTAAACAAGATTTAAAGTGTACAAAATATTTTATTTAATATTTTAGCATGTTTATAAACGTTTTCTTATGTTACAAAATATACTTCTTTGGCTAAGTGTTTCCGAGTACGGAGACCATGTTCTAATACTATACAAACCTTAGTTTAAGGATGTATTGTATGTGTACTGTGAATAACTTTTTAGGTCACTTGAGTCACTCAGGTGACCTGTTGCTGATATTTGTTTTTGTCCGTCATCGTGCGTCTTGTGTTAACATTTGAACATTCTCCGCTCCTTCTCTGGAACAGCCTAAACGATTTCAACCAGTTTTGGCATATAGCATCTATGAGTATAAGGAAAAAAATGTGAATTTCGTAAACCCCCCTCCCACCCGAGGGTTGTGACCAAAACTGTCAAAATTAATGCATCTTTAAAAATCTTTTTTACTCCTAGACATCAGGCAGTCCAACTGTTGGCATGATTGTACATGTAATAAGCATTGAGCCCTCTACCAAAATTATGAAATTCATGTCAGGGGTTCTAGTGCTAGGGCGGGGTTCCATCTATCATATATAGAAAATGCATTATTTCTTCAAAAAATCATCTCTTCCCCTGTATATTAAGCAGACAAAATAAGTGCCTCGTTGTGATGGACAAGGAAAGCTCTTTCAAAAATGTGAGTTTCGTGACCCAAGGGTCAGGGATTCGAGTTTTAGGGCGGTGCATGCTCAGTATGTAGTGAAAATGGATAATTCTATGAAAATCTTATTTGCTCCTGGGTATTAAACAAACTAAGTGCATGGTTATGATGAGCAAGGTTGCCTCTTCTAAATCAGGGGATCCGATGCTAGAGCAGGGAGTACAAAAGTGTAATGAGCGAAGATGTTTTTATTAAATATGGGAAATTTTGGACCACTGGTTCAAGTATTCTAGTGCTGGGAAGGCTCTACTGATATTGTAGGGGAATTTGTACTTTTCTGAGAGAATTTTTTCCCTTTTACTATTCACCTTTGACATTAAATCATTGTATATAATGCAATTGATAGATGAAATAAAATACGGAGATAACGAACAGTATTCAAGCTCAAAGTCCATTCAAACAACACAAATCGGGAACAGAGCAAACACGGACCTCCAAAAACATCATGCTAATATCTTTAATATGAAATGAAACTGAAAAGAAACACCGATTTGATGTATACCTAAAATCTATCTACATAACAATATAACAATCAAATCTTTTCCATACATTCTTTAACAATCAAGTCAATTACATAAGTGTTCCGTTAGTTTACTTCACTGACACATTCCTGAAGTTTCTTATTTCCCGTAACACTTATCTGACCTTAATTAATTCAAAATAGTTTTTCTTGCTTTATTGATGTGTATGTTGTTTATTGCCGATATTAACATGTAAATATGCATTCTGAAATTGAATAACTTAATTAATTTAATCATATGATCATGATCTGACAACCGTGGAATGCCCCCTTCCAATCTTATGAATATTTCATCACCAATCTATCTGATATATAAAGCGAGGAGGGCACCAGTGTCGACATAGAACCAGTTTCTCAGAGCTTAAGATTGACTGACATAGGTCCACTACTGCTAAAGAAATGGTAAGAAAATTTGTTAGTTTTATTACAGTTGTTTTGTTTTCTTTCCAATATGAGACGTTCTCAACCTAATTTTATATACATGCCAATATTTCATAGTCCTCTGCCTTTTTTTCTGAAAAAAGTCTACTTGCAACTCTATTAAAAACGGCGATGAAGTATAAGCATCTTCTTCATGATCAATACATGCATATCAATATGCTACTTTTTGCAAAACAACAATTGTTTACGTATGATTTCTTAAAATACTCTTTTACACCTTTTTCAAACTTTTGCAGGATTGTGTAAAGTATCTTGCTCTGCTATTCGCATTATTGTCCGTTTCCATGGTTACCATGGCAGATGATAGTAGTGAGGATGTTGACGAGGACAATGACGGCGCTGAGAACGAGGCTGAGGAGGAGGAAGCCACTACTATCATCGAGGAAACTCCATCCGCCAGCTCAACAGTTATACAGAGTGGCGGATCAAATGTCGGCTCAACAGTTGTGCAGACTGGCAGATCTAATGTAGTGGTTACCACATATGGAGCCGTACCAAAGATAAACACAGAGTCTAAATCTGCCACCAAAGCAAAGGCCACTATTTCTAAAGTCACCAAGAAAGTTAACCGGATCGTTGCGTTCCACCGTCAAAGAGCCACCTTTTACAAATGTCAGACATCCTGTCTTGTTGGCGCCATTTCCTGCTTGAATTCATGCCGCAACGAAGGAGCCTACACATTTTACAGAGATCAGTATATGTTGTGCGGAAGGAAATGTCGGTTCAGCCAATACCATTGTAAAGTGGGCTGCAAGAATGAACTCAGACAAATAAGGACCGAGCAGATGCGATCCCTTCGAGCGTAGACCTAATTATCCATTTACGTAACTATATAACTCCAGCTACCACAATCAAAGCAAGTGATCTTTGCTCGTATGAACGTGGCCTCAGGCCTCCAAAATCAATTCCAGAGAGAGGGTCTTGAACAAAATTGACAATTTACATCGTCCTATATTTCTCGGTAAAGCATTTTTTGTTCAAGTTGTCGAGTTAACCTGTTTCAGGGATTTGAAGATAAAACATGATGAAATCATTTGTAAATGATGCTAGCGTCTTTTGTGTGAAATCCATGTTGTTCATTGTTTTTCTTTGTGTTTCCCGTTGTATTCATTTAATTTATTATATTATTAAACCGGTTCTTATCTTACTTGAATTTGATTTTTTATGTTTTCTAAAAAAGAAAAGCTTGGAATGAACTTTCTCAATTAATTGAAGGATTTAAGGGAAAATGAAATACATGTATTATTGTAAAATTTTGGTTGGAGTTTGAAGATCTAACAAACCAGTGCAGGTTATCGTGGAAACTAAAGTAAGCTTATAGGCACCACGATTAACCTTTTATTCGGCTTTCATTTTATGTCTACTTGATAAAGGATATTGACATTAAAAACCAAAAAAGGTACCTGGAGACCTTTTAACAATCTGTACAGATCACAAAAGAAGAATTTGTTTTGGGGTTCAGAGATCGATGTAGGGTCAGCCTACTGTCAGGGGGTAGTGACAGGTGCTTGATCACGGTGTATGGTAGAGTTCTGACATTACAATGCAGACAATGGTAGAGAAGTCACGAACAGTAAAGGTTAATCAGGTGACATTCATTAATGACAGATAATCTATTCAATTAAAGGCATGATTGCATGAAAAATTAAAATTTATGTTAATGTTTAGATAAGTCATCAAAAAGAACCTGCATGATTTTATTGATTTAAATGTACATGTACGTAATTAATGACTACGATATAAGGCTAATATACATGTAACTGTGAATTTTGTCTATGATGGAATGTAAGAGTAAAATGGCCTAAAGTTTGGGTATCATTAGTTCTGAATAAACACTGCTACAAAGATATGTTAGTGTGTATTCTATCTAATTTTTGGATTTAGACTTGGAAAAAAAAGAGAAACATCTTTTCTATTTCAGAACAAGCTGGATTGCTATCATGGTAACCTTGAACAAATTGGAATCAAAAGGTCCGTCAGATTTCAGACTGTTTGACCATATTTTATTGTACATTATATTTTCAAAGGGATTAGGCACAGTTTCTAAAAACATATTTCAGAACTTTAGAATCAATTAGCGGAAACCAGTTTCTTACTCCATTTCTTATGATTTTTGGAACACGAAACTTAACATTTTGTTAGTAACTGCAGGAAACATTAATTTCCAAACGTAGCTACCAATCTCAGCACTTTCTTTGGAGGATCTCATGGTATGTTAGTGGAGTTATTGCTTTTGAGTATGGACAACTTGAGATTGAAAAAAATGTGCATTCCCAAAAATTGTTTTTTTTTAATGTAATTATGCTAACTATAGATTTCTTTTTCACTTGTATAAAACCATTCTTAAAATCATCTTGAATGGAAAAATTTCTTGTTTATTACAGAGCAATATATTTTCCATCCTGTATTGGAAATTTCAACTGTCCGGCGATTGTTTTTACATTACTTTTCCTTTTAACATTTTTAATATATTAATTAATTAATTTTGTCTTTTAAAAGGACTGCAATACGTGGACCATTATAATGTGTTTCTAACAGAAAAAAAATCTGGGTTGTAATGAAAATATGTGTTATAAAAAAGATTTCTTTCATCTTGAAACGTAAATTTTTCATAATAATTTAATGTAATTTTCTAATTCCTAAAATATTAATAATTGTTAGGAGCACGGTCTGGATATCAATACTTGATCAAGGCATCTATTGTTCATTGTATAGCCTTTAGCCTTGGCCTTTAAATGGGGACATCCATGTCCTCCAATTACCCCATATGTGAGATGTTAAAATTTTGAAATACTGTCCAATTTTAAGCAGTGTTGTTCTCCTTGACAGTACAGACATCTCTGCATCTCTGTTGAGGATATCGATTGCATATGATGCCAGGCCTGTAGGACCCGGGGGGGGGGGGGGGGAGTCCCAATAGTTTTGCCAGTATATACTTTACTTTAGAAAAGAAAGCTTATATTTACAGTTGTGACCCTCAATAATTATTTTTGCCAGTATACATGAAAAATCCAACCTAATTTGCATTCGTATACCCCTTCAGGAAATCAGATGACCCCTTTTCCTTTGTGAATTTTTGATAAATCACGTGAAATTTAAACACTAACATATAATATATATATATTGTGCCTCCCTCCTACCCATCTGAAATTCCTTCATACGAGCTTGGATGCACAAAACTGATACCGGAAGTCTGTCCCATCTTTTAAAGCCTAACCGTTGAATTAACTTCAAGCAGTAAAACCCTCTGAATTCTTCCTCCTTTTAAAATGCTTGTACATAGAAGCCCCGATCTTAATTGTACATAGGCGTCGGAAGCAAATTGAAAGGGGGGGGCTTATTGAAAGAGAAAAAAATTTCAAACCTGAAAAAAAAATTGACAAGCGAAAAAAAGGAAAATTAAAAATTGTCCAAATCCGAAAATCCTATTTCGTCGGGGGGGGGGGGGGGTGATAGGATCGAACTTCTTTCAGTACCAATTTATTTTTTCAAACGCTACCACTTACCCTTCTTTGATTACACTGCATTGTGCCTGTTGAAAGTGGGGGGGGGGGGGGCTAAATCTACGCCCCAATGTTCAATGCCTTTATTATGTCTATCTTTGCGAAAGCTTGCTAAGCCCCCCCCCCCCCCCCCCCCGGTTCCGACGCCTATGCTGTAAATACTTATTCATCTATATACGTATTAACTTTAGTAGAATATGTTTTATTCACAAAAAAGGATATATGTATATAATGCTAGAATTAGATTTAGATATACTAATTAATTAATAAATGCAATGTACAGATTTTAGCCAAGTTTTGCCAGTGATGGACGAGTTCTCACTAGTATTCAAAGAGGGCGAATAGTCCTAAGAGCAAGTTTTCCTACGAACGAACTATCTAACATCCTGGTGCATACGCAAAATGACTTTTTCCATAGCATCCGGTTTTACCTTGTTTATGTATTTTCTCCGTGGACCTCAGGGTCCGCGCAAAAATTGCTTTTTTTCTTCTTTACTGCTGAGCCGTGTCCGCAAAACATTTAAACATGGTTAGCTTCGTTTAATAAAAAATGAAAAGGAAAATTTCTACTGTGATAACCTGTGTTTAAACAGATGCTTATCATGTTTTGGTGCTTTTTGATTTTTGATATAAAATATTTTTTTTGACTATGCATCTAACACTTAAATGTTAACTAAAAGTTCCCTTTAACTGCAACTTCTTCTGTCCTTTTCCTTTGTACCTAAAATAGTTGCGCAGACACGACTCAGCAGTGAAAAAGCAAGATAAAATTTTATAGCAAAGGACCCTAAATCTGATAAAGCATGCAGATCTTTAAGATAATTTATTGTAAATATCTGTGTGTTTTGTATATACATATAAGCTTTAAGGATTGCAAAAGCCTGCAGTAATGTTTTTATTAAAGTGTGGGGGGATTACTGACAAGCAAAAAAGGGGGGCTGAGACAAGCAGAAAGAACCTAATACCGACCCCATCCCTTGAACTACGGACCTGATACATTTGGTGATATTTATTTAGCGCTTCTCAATGTTAATTGTTATCAGTTGTTACATTCGATCAATCTCAGGGGTCACGGTAGCCAAGTGGTAGGGTGTTCACTTCATGATCGGGATGATCGGGTTCCATTCTCGTTCACCGCGCCGCGTCAAACCTAAAACGTGAACATGGGTAGTGACTGTTCCTTCGCCAAGCGCCCGACACTAGAAGGGAAAGTCATGCACGGGTTATTCGGATGAGACCTTAAAAATCCGAGGTTCGTGTCACGGTAGGCGTTGGCACAATAAAGAACCCTCACTGCTCAATGGCCCAGAGTGCCGAGAAAAGGTCTAAGTTTGAAGCCCTTCACCGGTATATGGTGACATCTCTATATGAGTGAAAAATTCTTAAATGGGACGTAAACAACATATTATCAATCACTCTCCCCTGGGGAATTGCCGTTCGTTCTTCTTTCAGACACCTCTGCAATGGGCTCGCGTCAAGATTTTAGCATAAAGTAAAAGATATCAAAATTTTGATATCGCAAGGATTATTTCAAATTAAACTAATATTTCTAGATCTACTTAGTAAATATTTAAATTTAAGGCCGAACGTTAGTTAAGTTATTTAATTATTATGAATCAAAACAAAGGCACTTAAGCTTTTTTCTTGCTTATCACTGTGATATACACGAGCCACCGACAGAGCTGAATGTATGAGCCGATGGTAGAGAGTGACTTCACTATCTGAGCTGTGTTTCATATCTTGTTCATGGTGGATGAAGCGCTATGGAGGTATCACCCAATACTCTGCAATTGTTTTTGAAAAACAATGTTACAGAGGTAATACATGTATGAATACATTTTCGTTTTCTTCAAGAATATTTTTTTGTACTTCCGGAAAAAATCCCTGCACTTCTCGAGGATGTGTAAAATGGTCATCTGTCAAATATTTCAAATTTCCAAATTCATGCAGTATGCTGACAAAAAAACCAAAGCATGCAGTATGCTGACAAATTGACAAAACCATGCAGTATGCTGAAAAAAGAATAAGCACGCAGTATGCTGACAAAATGACAAAACCATGCAGTATGCTGACAAAAAGACCAAAGCATGCAGTATGCTGTTAAAAAAGACAAAAAAGAATGAAATTAACATTTTGAGCACTACATGTATTTTATCAAGAAGAACATCGACCCAAATCAGCTTAATAAATAAACATCATATGTAGAACAAAAATAATCCGTTGAAAGTGCAATAAATGAAACTTTAATTCACTCCTTTCTTATAACGTCACACTAAAACAGAATATAACCTTTACGGGCAGAAGGAAGAAGCATCATTTCATTCAGCGTTTAAACATCGGAGAAACACAACTGAGTGAACCATAGAGACTGAATCTCAAACCATGATACAAACTACTATCAGTGTCTCGTACTGTCTCCACGAACTCAGAAAAAAGAATGACAGTATTAAAGGGTGGAGCGACGCAAGAGTTGATATGATTGATACGTCATTGTTTTTATAACAGTTTTTAAGTACATGTAGTAATAAAAAAAAAAAACAAAAAACAATAGTCTGTATGCCCCTATCAATATCTTATAATTTTGAGATGCTCATAATTAAAACCAGGTTGGAACACGGGAAGTGCACACTGCGGATTGCATTTTAGCATTTACCTTTATGTATACATATCCACCATAACTCCATAGAATTAATTGTAGTCCTTGCAGAGTTGATGTGCAGCATACGTTCTTAACCTTTATATTAAAAGTAACACGATCTATGTGAGTAATTAATACAGACGTACAAAAGCATGAACATTTAACCACGTGACAGAAAAATGCACTCGCAGTCATGGATTCTGTTAGGAAAAAATGATTAGCATTGAGTGGAATTTCAGAAATTAATTAAAAAATTAATTTTACAGGAAAATATATAAAATTCTCCTCTCTCTCTCTCTCTCTCTCTCTCTCTCTCTCTCTCTCTCTCTCATATTTTATTTGTGAATGTACCCTATATGCAAATTTTCTTCAACATTTTTCAGCAGTAAAAAAGAAAAGTAATGAACTTAATATGTTTGTTAAACCTTTTTTATACTCCTGCTTAATAATTTGCGATATGAAATACACAAGTACATCTTAATAAGGATTCAAGGTCATAGGTGTTAGAATCTTTTCTATTATCAGTTAATTTACGGAATGGTTTTTCTTTCCTCAAAAATAAACAAATAAATAAAATAAAAAATATTTATCATAGAGAAGGAAAAACCTTAACGGTAAAATAAAGAAGATGGGTGAACAAGGCGGGCGAAGTGCCTATAGTGCGACAAACATGAAGTGAAAAATAAAATCTCAATTATTTAAAAATTTTCTTTGATATTTCATCTAACATTAAAGTATATTTTATGCTAAATCTCTACAATTTACAAAAATCTCACAAAGACTGAAATTATTTGCCTACGAAATAGCATACACACACTAAAGAGGACAAAAAGGATCATTTTCTCATACTTTAACAAAATTTTTCGATATGAGTGGGTCTTCGCTCCATTTTTTTGAAAGTTGATCCTAAAAGTTTGCATAAAAATATACATTTTTTGGTTTACAAAAACATGGAGCAAAGACCCACTATACCTTAAAAGTACACTTTTATGACAAAGCATTCGCATCTTTCCGAGAAATACTTGAAGTCCATTAAGTCAAGGGTCATATCACAAACATGATTTAAATGCCACTATTCGTCAGGAGCTGCGTGGCGTAGTGGTTAGCGTGTTAGTCTCAAAACAATATGATACTCCGGATTTTTATTGATAGGGGTTCGAATCCCACGAATACCATTTTATTTTTTTAATAAAAGAATAATTTTTTCCGAGATCTTTTTTCTCAGAAAAGTTTTGTTGATCATAATTTCATGAATTTCAATAATGAGAACTTTACTTTAAATACTTAATTTACAAATTGAATATGATTTTATTAATATCTGAAGCTATAGGCATTCTACACGTCTTCTTCACCCATCTTCTCTACAATGTAAAGTGTTTCTCCTTGGAGCTATTATCTACACCGAGTTTACGTGTACTCTAACATTTAAACCTGACTAGCTTTATTTCTTTTCATAAAAAAGTAAATTTACATTCTTATGTTGATGGTTATATTACTTATTATACGTATAATGTGTATATTTGACAATTAGAAAGAATTGCTTAAATGCTTTATGTTCCTCATGTAGTACTATGTATGGTTTGAGCAAATAAACTTGGAGAAAACTGCCATTAACCTCCGTTAACAAGTTTCTAATTAATAAGAACAGGGGTTAAAAATTAATTAATCCTCATAATAACTGAACCATCTTGTAGCTTGTACAAATTGACAGTAGTAGACATAAATTAACACATAACGTGTGTTTGACAATGAAAAGGAAGTACAGTCGATTTGTGATTGTCATGAATATTCAGATTATTCGATACAATGTATGTCTGTAAACATACAAAAATGTAGAATTTTTATCTTGTTAAATCCTTTTTGTAAATGCTGATGTACTTTAGGAAAATACATTACTTTGTGCAACAAATAACATATGTAATCTTAGATATCAGCATAAAAAATTAGTACCTTAGCAGAATTCAGTTTTAAATGTCAAACTGTTCAATTAATTTAAATCTGATTAAGAAAACATTAAAATAAAATTACCCTACAAATATTTTTTGGATTACATTTCCAGTGAGATTTTAAAAGTTAAAATTGTACTGTGATGTGCGCATTTCTAGCGTGTTGATTTTTGCATAAAATTGGCAAAAAGTATATCCTGGAAAACTCGACACAATTTGTGTTTTGAAACTTGGGCTAAATTAATTTTATCTTTTTTTGTCCTTAGAATAAATAATTCCTCCAACTGTGATTTGAGCATGCTTACCATAAAATATACATAGACCGACCAAACTTGTAGGTAAAGTCTTATTTATAGAGAATAACCAATAAAATACCAAAAACTCATAAACAATCAATTAGTAGCAATAAATTCTAAATACCAAAAATCAATTTGTACATGTAGGTATTTAAGTCGGCATTTTATTATCTACAAGAACGAGTTTTTATTTTCAGATTACGTTTATTTCTTTCGGCACCGCCTGGGACACAGATCAAATAATGACATTTCAAATACCTATCACAAATGGAGATATATGCATAAATGCAATCGGTCATCATTTCCCAAATAATTCAAAGTGCACGAACAAAAAATGCGGGGCAAATTTCCTGATATTCAAAAATCGAAATAAATTATTAATCTCGTTAATATTAATATTAGATCATTAAATTCCTGGCCAAGTGCACCTCGCGGTCCCATTATAAGTAATTAATACTTATAATGACAGAAGACAGCTCGTGATGAAAGAAATTAGAAGGTGAACAAGAGAAATTTGATGACGGTATTAAAACAGTTGAACTTTTAATCGTATAGACAAATATTAGAGCTGCCAGGACGAAGTGGATAGATCTTTAACTCACCATATAAAATGGTAAGTCGCCAGCTTCAGCTGCTTATTAATAATATCAACGTAAATTATATCTATGTTTTTTTAAAAACTTTCTGATTAAAAATCCTTAGGGTTAGAATAGGTTTTTATAGAAATTCAGGGTCATAAATTCAAAGAATAAGCCATGTAATGTTTTTTTAAATAATGAGGAAATTATTTTTCGTTTTAAAAAATGATACAAAATAATATAGTGTTTGTATATTAAAATGTTGCAAAGTAAGTATTTATTCGAGGAGATAATTCTGTGTGTCATACAGTTACTTTGTTTAACCCACTTCCCAGGTTGCAATTACACACGGAAGGACTTCAAAAAAGTATATTTTGAAATAAAATATCAATATTATAGAATAGAGTAAATACAGAAAAGGTAAAAACCCTCCTTATAACAGAATCAGCTTCGTTATTTTCCTTGAGTTGTTTTCCCGCGAAAACCATTACCGACCTAGGCTTCGCCTCGCTCAGCAATAGTTTTCGCGGGATAACAATTTCACGTTACCCTAAAAAACATAAAATTTTTGTTGTTGTTATACTGAATGTATTTAAAATAAATTTTCACTTTGGACCGTACGCGCAAACACTCAGCGCAGTTCACTTTTAAACTGTTACCCGTTGTAATGCATTTTCAATCGTTGCTATATGTAATGTTACCCGAAGGCGTGGTTTATCACGCGGTAGTGAGATAGTACATTTTAACAAATGTTTTTAAACCAAACATATTGGATTATTTATTATCAACATGAAAGTATTACAAATTTAGATATAAGTCAAAAGATTTTCATTCTAAGGAGAGTTTCCGTTTAAAAATGAATCTTTGACCCTTCTTACTAAAATAAAATAGATAATTAAAGCTTAATATTTTATATCTAGTTGATAATTTAAGCTGTATATTTTTATATTTTTAGGAGACAATGAAGCTTCTAGTCGTCTGCGCCATTTTGTTTCTCCCATACATCTTACCTGCATCAGCTGACGACAGCAGCGAAGAAACAGAGCCAGAGGTAACCCAACAGACGGTGCAGACGACAATACCACCCGAGAATCCTGAGTCAGTAGTCACACAACAGACAGAGCCAGCAACACCCCAGCCTGATAACCCCGCGTCTGTGTCTACTCCTTCTCCAAAGGAAACAGATTCTGACATCAACATATCACAGAAGGAATCTGTCGTCTATCCGTCCAATACCTCTACAAATTCAGGATCCATGACAGACTCTGGTACCGTGCCTGGACCCCTGGTGGAATCCACAGAATTCCAGTCTTCCAAATCTGAGATCAAATCTTCGGGATCCGAATCAATGGCAGAATCCTCCAATTCACGGTTCGCCACTTCTGGATTTATGATCGATTCATCAGGATCTCTGTTGGAATCATCCGGAGCCTCATCCTCTGGTTCTGGATCAATGGTTGGGACTTCCGGAGCCTCATCCTCTGGCTCTGGATCAATGGTTTGGACTTCCGGAGCCTCATCCTCTGGCTCTGGATCAATGGCTGAGACCTCTGGAGCCTCATCATCTGTTCATGGATTAATGGCTGAGACATCCGGTGATCTTTCTTCTAGTTCTGGATCTGTGGTTGACACACCCATTACCGCTTCGCCTGCTCCTGAACAAATAGTCGTAACATCCGGCGCCGCTCCCTCTGGTCACGGATCAATATTGGAGACATCCGGTGCTGCTTTGTCTAATCAGGAATCCATGACAGGATCATCCGGTGCCTCGTTGACAGGTGTCTCGTCCACAGGTTATGGATCTTTGCCAGAATCGTCTGGTGCCTTGTCTGGATCAATGGTAGAATCGAATGGCGCCTTTTCTTTAGGTTCAGCCGGTGCATTCAAGAGTTCATCTCAATCATCTCAGAATACAGAATCTTTTTCCTCATCACATGTTCTGAAAGCAGAACCAGAGATGTTGGGACCAGGAATTCTACCTGCATCGGAAGTATATTCCAGTGGAACGCATGTGAGTCCAGTGGCTGAAAAACCATCTGCCTCGTTTTCTGCTTCCGAGATCACATCTTATGGTGGCTCTCCCGTTAGTTATAACGCTAAATCTTCTGTTAACGTTTTCTCACTTCATGCGTCATCTAACACAGGTTCCTCTGCGTCGTCTGCTTACACAGTTGAATCTTCGCCAAAAACATCATCATCATCTTCTGCTGGGTCCAATTCAGTGATTCCCGAATCTACCAGTGGAGGTCTTTCATTTAATGCGGGTGCTGTATTTAGTCCAGGCTCACAAGCTTCATCTGTAGTTTCAAATTCAGTTGCCTCCGTAACACAAGCTCCAAAGACCACGCCCATTCCCATTACTCAAGAACCTCCAAAGATTACTTCGCCAAACCCTACGACCCCAAACGTACCTTCTACAAAGGTTACTTCTGCAAAGGCAACATCTCTTAACAAAGCACAGAAACAGGCCAGGTCTCAAGCTGCCAAAACTGTGTCCAGAATCACCAAAAAAGTGAACAGAATAATAAACTTCCATCGCCAGAGATTTACGTTTTATCGATGTCAGACATCTTGTTTAGTAGACTCTATACGGTGTATGCGCAGTTGCAGAACCAACACTACTTTTATCTTGTATAAAGATAATTATTTAGAATGTGGGAAGAAGTGTAGAGTGAGACAGTATCATTGTAAAAAGTTATGTAAAACTGAACTCAGAAGAGAAAGAATAGAGCAGATTCAAAAATTACGCTCTCCTAGGATACCCTAGTAAACAAAACAAAGGTCTCCTAGGATACCCCAGTAAACAAAACAAAGGTCTCCTAGGATACCCAAGTAAACAAAACAAAGGTCTCCTAGGATACCCAAGTAAACAAAACAAAGGTCTCCTAGGCATTGCCAATCATAGACATTGGCTCCCTCATACAATGTGTGAGAAAATATGGTTGTTTGAATACATTTTCATGTTGTTTTAAATAGAAAGAGCAATATTATATGTGAGCAATGATATAATAATATTTAAAGCAGTTGCTCAAACTTGATAACAAAGGTACATGTATTAGTGTTGCTATTTATTTAGTGCGTTCGTACCCGAAGACATTCAAAATGTATATAAAATTTATTGCTATGTTTATAAAGTTTATTGTTTGCTTCTTTTTTCAATAAAAAGTATTCCTTACATAAATTTGAAATTCGCTTTATTTTGTGTGTGTGTTTTAAGTTTTATTTTTTTAGATTTACTATAAATGCTAATAGCATTTTTCAGAGATGAGGATTATTTCTAAAAAAAACATGTATATATTGAGGCTATCTATAGGAATTGAAAGTCTTATTTGATGGTAAGCCCCCCTCCCCCCGGGATTTCTTCCATGTTTGAAGATGAAGGTCAAATTATAGAAGTGTTGATGTTATCCAGCCCATCATACTGTGTTACCCTTCTACCTATATTATATGCAATGCAAGCAATATGACCAGGACTAGCTACATATATATCGTTTGAGAGTCTTGTAAACTTTATTCCTTTTAATGTTCAACTGGTAAGTCCCAGTCACCTTGTGACGGTACTTATTGTCGTTTTCTGCACATTGTCGTCGGCGACAATATGCACATAATTATCTCCACTGCACTTATTGTAGTTCTTCGACTAATATTGTCGCCGGTTGGAAAGTAATACATGCACATATTGTTGCTGGCGAAATTATATGCCTCTCATTGCACATATTGTTGTCCCACATTTAGGGTTACTTGACGTTTTTTTTTGTTTTTTGTTTTTTTTTTTTTTTTGTTTGTTTGTTTTTTTTTTTTTTTGAGTTTTATGACTGTAATTAGTGTGTAAAGCACACAGATGTATCTCGTACGTAATTTCATGCAGCGCTATTGTGTCGGAACATATTATCATCCAGTACATATTGTCGCCAGTAACAGTGAGTCCCTAACCCCACTGCGCATACTGTCGCCCTTCGGTACATTTTGTCGTTGGCTGCAAAATTAATCTCTCGCTTCTTTTGCACTTCTTTGATTAATTTGTTTTCCGGAAAAAAAAAAAAATATTTATTAGGACTTTCATGGTAGTTTGAATAGAGAACCGTCTACAGATTACGGTTTGCTATTCAAAAGATGAGTAGTAAATGATTTTCTTTCTTTAGTTTCATTTGGTTTATTCATAGGTTGTTTTATTCAAGCACAAAATATAACGCCACGTCACATTTAAACATCTACAAAACATCTACAAAGAGGCAGTAAGCTTGCAAAACAAGTTTAAAGATCTTTTATATTAATTCAAAGGGGTCCCTGAAGAGCTTTTTTTTTTAAACTGACATAAATGATCTTTTAGTGTGTATTGTACCCACTAAAACGATGAAGTACTGCCGAGGTTTTCGTTCCTCTATTCGTGGTAAACCATTCTATCACATCTGAGATCTGTGGGTATGTATGGATTATTTATATTTTTAAACAACTTTTAAAATTAATAACCATGGTGTAATGATTGACAATTGAATACTTTTGTATGTTTTTAAAAAGTATTGTATCCGTAAAAGAAATAAAGGCATTGATATTTTTCAGAAAAAAAAAAATAAGAACAAGGTGTTTACTAAAATACTGATTGTTATTGCTGTTTCATTAAGGACTGTAAAAAAAAAATACAGACAAGAACGTATTTTTTTTAAATTAAAGATAACAAACATTTCTGTCACGTAGGCATATTTCATGAAGAGCGCTATTCTTTTTTTTTTAATTTACCTTTTAATTCTTTAAAAACAAAAATACACTCAATATCTGAATTTTTGCTGCCCCATGTCGTTATGTTTTTTCACTTCCGTCGCGTCATTGCGACTTCACAATAACACAATTAGCCTGGTCCCCTGGCTCATCCTGCCCAAGTGTCGCGGAGTGTACGAAGCATAACAGGGACAGGGAACCAGGTTATAACACAATTTTCCCCGTGTTTATTTTTACGCATGGCTATACGTGAAAAAAAGGCATTCAATTCAATTTCATAGATGGCTTGGTAAACAAAAAACACTGCAAAGGTAAATACCGGTATATACAATTATACAGCAAAACTACCTACATTAACAAAGAAATTGTCTGAGTTTACAAATACACTGAGAACACATGTCTAAGGGGGAATAAAATAAAGCGTTACCTTTCTTTTGCATAACATAATTTCGAACAGTAGTGTTTCCGAAAGCTTGCTAGATAACTCAGTATAAAATAACATGTGGTCTGACAAGTATCACATTAAACTTGAATCCAGGTGACGATTTGTTATTTAATGTAGCTATGATATCAGCTGATTTCAATGTTGTATAAAACTATGAATGCAATATTTTGCTCTTTTACTAAAGACAAAAAATAAGAAAAAATACAAATTCATGTAAAATTGATGTGAATATAAAAGTTGCATATATAAATTCGAACAAATTCTAGACCATATATACAATTTGTAAGTAATATGTTTTACGGTGCCATAGTTGCTCGTCCCTATTTAGGGTGTAAGGGTGACAGATGCATAGTGAACTCATTCTACTATAAAAACTAGCATACAATTTGAACTATTATCCGCCTCTTCAAACTTCAAACCGCACGAGACAGTCTAAACTGTGACGTCACATGACGTGCAAACTGAGTCTATATAAGCCTTTTGAAATTTTGCAACGAAATGCATTGTAGAGTAGATGCAATTATTTTTTGTTTTGTTTAAGCTATCTTCAAGAACTAATTCTTAATACATGATAACTGCGTGACTGTTTATTCGCCATTATCGCATGGAATCCTGGTTCTGAAGGAATTCTGGGTAGGTTGCACTGGAAAATTTTCCTGACGAATATATAGATTTCATTCCGAATTTCTTCTGTTCTTAAACGTTAGTCTAATGAGCTCGCGTTGCAAGCGGCGCTTTGCGCCGCTCGCTGCGTTCGCTATCAATCTTTTATTTGTGACTTGGCTTCCGCGACGCTTAAATCTTGTCTTCCAGTCAATGTAGTACTATTAGTAATAACGAGCACTGCGAATCTCACGACAACGACTGGGCGAAGAGAAAATTTGGACACATTGATCCAAATAATTTTTTTCTGCAGTGACCTCGTGACCCACACTGCATTGCAAATGCATCTCGCTGCTAACTTCGTTCTCGCAGGAACAACAATTGAAAGTTCACCTAAGAATAATCTAATCTTGATTTAAAAGACATTGCAAAGAGAAGAGATCTTTGTTAAAAATTCGCACTTTTCACACTTCATTATGGAACATACGACGTCTTGTGACGTCACAGTGTAGACGTTACAAATGTCTCGTGCGGTTTGGAGAAGCGGATCTAAGATAAAAGATTACACAACTGCGCTCGCCCCAACCTTCGTACCAACAAGATATTGTTAGAATCTTTTCATTCTATATGATCTCAGATATGATCGGGGAAGTTGATGAAACATCAGACCTATTGCTCGCAAACCAAAAATTATCTTTTGTAAAAAAAGATTTTTAAAGACTAGACAAGGACATTTCAAAAATAAAGTCATAAATATCAACAGATGTAGTTTTAATGAAAAATAAAGCATGCATTATGTAAACTGTTACTGTATATAAATGTTTATGATTATAGTTTTATGATTGTAAAATAGTTATTTAGATTACATGAGATGATGCTTACTCCTCCTAAGCACCTGATCTCACCTCTGAAATTTCCAAATGTCCGTGTTTTATGCCCTCTTCACAGATCGCAGCTATGTTAAGGCTGTCCGAAGGCTTACATTAAAATATACATTTTATTTTGAGCTAGATTTTAATTTCAATTTGTAATCTATGTATGAATATGCATTCGACTTGTGATGAGAGTGTAATCAGGTATAATTACAATAATGCATTTTTGTGATGTCACATGACTTTGTTGATCACGTGGCGGACACTTATAAATTCCTTTTATGTTGCACAAAAATCGCATCGGCACAAGTGCAAAACAACATTATTGAAAAATATTGTCACATAAGTCAATTCATCGTGATATTTGGTACATATGTACATATAAAGTGCTGGAGGCAAGTCTGAATTTTACTTCTGTAGAAAATATTACACGAGAAATTCAACTTACCCACATACAAGTGGGCATTTTCTACTCTTTATCACAGTTTATACAAAATAAATTACATACAATCCCCCAGCAAAATTCAGTCAGAGGACATACTTCTCTAGTAGATTCACACAGAATATTTTCAATTTATCCTTATTAATCACTTGTGCCAGTCTAATATATGTATACACGAGTTATAAATTCTAACTCTGTCCACGGACGTGTAAGGGGGGGGGGGGCATTTCATTGTCAATTTTTTGTTATTGTTGTAATATATGTATTTCGGACAAGTTAAACTAATAACTATATTATATTGCAAATGTTCAACATTATAACATCATACTTAAGCTTAAAGAACAATCCAGAAACTTGAATCAAACAACAACGCTAAAAATCTTTACATATCATGTGAAAGGAATGTAAAAGTTATGACACTTTCCCCGTCATGTCAGCTCAAGTATGCGGTGACTTGACGTCATTTGCTATTATGACGTCATATCTAGGTAGTTCAGAGAAGTTACTTCACTTGGAACAGTTTGATATTTTACGGGCAGCCTTATCCTAGCCACGATTTGTATTGTTTATTTATTGTTTTTATAGTAGATTTTTTTGAGTCCATCTTTACATTTTTCCTGTTAAAATTGAGTCTTGTTTTCCCAGAATCCTCACACTATGTCACGTGTACAATATCCATTCCCGGCCTCCACTGTGGAGCAATGTCCAAGAAACAGGACATCATGGGACGCGTCATCAAATTCACGACGCTGTCCTGTTGACGTCAACGGCAGGAGCACATACCACTGCGTCCCTAACCAGCAGACGACAGCGTTATTAGAGTTCTGCTACATCAGACAGATAGGACGTTATCAAAATGGTGAACTTCCCTACAAACCATAACTGTCACTATTTTAGCAAAACGATCTCCTTTACCAATGTTTAATATTTATATTATATGTTACAATAATCAGAGTCTATTGCAAACCTTGCTACGAGCTCATGAAAAAGAATATTCCAGCTAATTTACTTCCTATTAAAGCATTCCTTTCCATACATCTTATTCTCTCTTAAAGGAACCTGTCTATACCTCACAAATTCTGGCTATCTTAACCAAGTAAAGTGCACAGACTTCACCAATGGATGCCCACAAAAGCCGTATCTTAGCAACGAAATATATAAATGTATGTATAATATGTGCAATTGTAAAGTCAGTCTTTTATTTCTGATATTTTTTTTCTGATGATGTAAGATTTTAATCAGTGTAATGTTACATTGAGATCTTTACTTTCCTCCGAATGTAGAGCGTGTATTCAAATTAAGTTTCAACTCTTTCTCTTTGAATGATGAAAACGATAAATAAGACTTTTCAAACATAAATTTCAGTTAACTAAAAATCTCAGCTACTTGAATGTTATCGGAAGTTACACAATGGACATAAGATGCTACCAATTCATTATGAATGAAGTTATAAATAAACAAATTATTTTATAAATGAATTATATAAACATGTATTTGGGAAACTGCAAAGATTTATAAATACATGTATATCTAATAGATTCATCTTATAGTAGAAAAAATGTGAAAGACTTATAGAAGAAAAATGTAAAAGATTTCCTTATAAAAAACTTTTTTTTTATTTTTATGTTTTTGATTTTAGATCAAGAGTGTTTGGCTATTAACAAGCAAAATCATTGTTACGAAGCAGCAGGGTCATGCCGGAATAGGACAACAAAGTAAAGCTCTCAATCTGCCTCTCTCTCTCTCTCTCTCTCTCTCTCTCTCTCCTGTGTACCTCTTTTTATTTGTATGGAGTGTTTCTTTACAGTGCCACAACTTTGTCTACCCCAATGTCAACGACTTCATCAGATTATATACCAGTTTTGCTGGGCGTTATGCTACCAGTCATTTTGATGGTAATTTTCTCTGCCTTATTTATGATAATTCGACACAAGAATACCTCAAAGAAGGGAGATAACGTTGATCTAGAACTACAAAATCTTCTTCGTAAGTACGCTTTATTCTGTTAAAAATAAGCTGTAGAGGTATATGCACGAAAAGGAATTGTACTTAAATATATCTTCATGAAACTTTAATAAAAAAACTTATACATATTACTTACTTTGCAATTCTGATCACCGTGAGAGAGTACAAATATAAAAGTGTAAAAAGAATCATGAAAAGAGAGAAAAAGACTCTTTTAAGTACAAGCAGATTCATGCTGTTTAATTTCAGTGGGTAATTGTACATGTATATTTATTTTCTTGAAAAAAAAGAGTGTATGACAAAATACAAGTAAATTAATTTTTAAAACGAAAGAAGTTTTACAGTGTTCAAGAAACGTTTTTGGCAAACTAAAAATTATTTTTACAAGAAACTACTAAAGAAATATTGTATGTATTTTGATATTGAAAGATGTCATTTTAATCTAATCGAGGGAGGATTTGAAAAACAATTCTATTAATTCTCATTAGAGTTTATCTCAATATTTAGAGAGCAACAAATCGAAGGATGCATTTATAAAAACTCGGGCTTATCAGAAAGCAAGAGAAGTTTTGTTCGAAAAGAAATATGTTTTCATAAAAGGAAACCCTGGAGATGGCAAAACGACAATAGGAAAACATCTCTTGAAAGAGTTAAGAACCTTTCACAATAAACGTGTGGCGATTGTCATGGGACTAAGAGAACTGTGTGAGAAACGGGAACAAATAAAAAATACTGCTATTTTTGTAGACAATCTGTTTGGAGAATATATTTTCAGAAAATGGGAGATAGAACAGTGGGAAACTACCTCAATTGTTTTGGAAAATCTCTTGTCTGATGAAATCGACAAGAAGGGAAACTTTTTGATTGTAACGATTCGCAATGATATGTATTCAGAAATTCAAAGTCAGCTGCAGTTCAAAATGGAATTTGTTGAAAATGCTTTAGTTGATATCTCGGATTCGGCAAACAAATTGACAAAAGAAGAAATGAAACAGTTTTATGATCATTACGTCGGAATTCCATTTCAAACAGATGAATTAATCGAAGCTTTTAGTTGTGCACCCCCTTAGGGTTTCCACAATCTTGTAAGTTGTTTGGTAACACAAAAACTTTACAAGCTAGAGGATTAAAATTCTTTAAAAAACCCTTTGAGTGTTTAAGCCAGTATGTTGAAAATATGTATTGGCACTTGAATCCCCAGTTCTCCATTCTTGTATATATTGAAATGAAAAAGGACAGAGTTTCAATGTCTTCTTTAAATAATGTTAACTTCGATACCGAGACAAAAATAAAAGCAATGAATGTCCGTCCTGACAAAAAGGATCCTCCAATACTTATGAACTTCACAAAATGCATCGATGGATTACTTGGATCTTTTTTAGTCGAGGAAAATGGATTTTGTACGTTTTCACATAGTAGCATTCAGAATGTTGTTAAGAATGCCCTCATGAAATTTGATCTACCTTTTGTAATCAAATATTGCCACATGTCATTGTTAATGAATCTCCAGGTAGAAGGGAGCAAAGAGAAAGCTCCAAACTTACAAACAATAGATCAAGGCCTCTTTGCACTGATATATGAAAGAATTGTTGAAATTCCTAAATGCAGTAGATGTAAAAAGCTATTCAAAATCATATCCTGTTTACTTTTTTGGAAGGATAAAGCATTTTGCACTGGGTTCCAGAACTTTGTTGACAAAGATCAAAGCGTATAAAAGCAACTAGATGAAAAAAACTTATCGTTGCTCGTTCATTTTGCAGGCGCAGGGGAGCAAAATATGGTTAAATTTCTTCTGACAATTATAATCTATAACAAGCAAAGGTATGAAGCTCTGAATCAAGCAACTTTAATGAATCATGAAAAAATTGTCAGGATTCTTTTAGATGAAGGAGTCACTCCCGATGCTAAAAGCTGTTTCTGTGCTATACAGAATGGAAATAAGGATATCGTCATGCAATTTATCAATGCAGACCTTGATTTATTTGAGTTTTCTGAGTCTCGTCACCCATTTTATTACAAACGTTCTGTTTCTATATTAGCTGAATCCTGCTTATGGGAGAGACTGGAATTAATCTCTTTATTACTTAAAATTTCTCCTGGCCTTTGCAATGTGAAAAATGAAAGTGGACATCATACAATTCATTTTGTTGCTTATGCAGGAGCAACAGATGCACTGAAAGCACTCATAACCGAACATAAATGCGACCCATACCTTAAAACCGATAGAGAGACATCAATTCTACATTGTTCATGTCAGAACGGGAAACTTCAAACTGCAAAGTATATAATTAGTCAATTTCCGGATCTATTATGTGCAGAGCATAACAAAAACTTAAGTGCTTTACATTATGCAGCTTGGGGAGGTAACATCGAATTGCTGAAGATTCTATTAGATAAAGGCCTAGATATAAGTAGCAGAACAAATGATGGGAAAACTGCGCTACATAAATGTTGTGTAAATGGTAAAAAGGATATGTGTGAGTACTTGGTCAACACTTACCCTAACTTAATAGATACCACTGACAATGAAGGTCACTCCGCCTTACATGTTGTAGCCTGGGGAGGTAACATCGATTTGTTTAATTTATTTTTAGACAAGGGATTAGATATCAATAAAACAAGAAATGACGGGAAAACTGTGCTACAGCTGTGTTGTATGAATGGTAAAATAAACATGTGTAAGTTCTTAGTCAACACATATCCTTACTTAGTAGATGTCATAAATAAAACTGGCGGGAATGTCCTACATGATGCGGCCTGGGGTGGTAACATTAATCTGTTTAAGTTTTTCTTAGGAAAAGGTTTAGATATCAATAGAACAAGAAATGACGGGAAAACTGTGCTACATAAATGTTGTTTGAATGGTAAAGTAGACATGTGTAAGTACTTGTGCAACACTTATCCTCAATTAATAGATATTATTGATAATGATGGTGAGAATGCATTACATACTGCAGCCTGGAGAGGTAATATTGATCTGCTTATGTTCCTGTCAGAGAAAGACCTAGATATCAATAGAACAAGAAATGACGGGAAAACTGTGCTACATTTGTGTTGCAGGAATGGTAGAATGGAAATGTGTAAGTATCTGGTCAACAAATATCCTAATTTACTAGAAGTCACTAACAGTTATGGTCACAATGCCTTACATGATGCAGCTTTAGGTGGTAACATTGATTTGTTTAAGTTCCTTGCGGACAAAGACTTTGATATCAATAGAACTAGAAATGACGGGAAAAATGTGCTACATCTGAGTTGTTTGAACGGTAAAATGGAAATGTGCAAGTACTTGGTCTACACATATCCTTATTTACTTGAGGTAGTTGATACAAATGGTGAGAATGCCTTAGAAGCTGCAGTAGGCAATAGTAACATTGATTTGCTTAAGTTCCTCTTAGGGAAAGGCCTAGATAATACAAAAACAAGAAATGACGGGAAAACTGTGCTACATCAGTGCTGTTGGAATGGAAAGATAGATATCTGTAAGTATTTGGTCAACACTAATCCTCAATTACTAGAGGTCATTGACAATGATGGTCACAATGTCTTACATGATGCAGCCAGCGGTGGTAACATTGATGTGCTTAAATTCCTCATAGAAAAAGGCTTAGATATCAATAGTACAAACAATAAAGGAAAGACTGTATTACATCTATGTTGTGTGACTGGTAAATTATATATGTGCAAGTACTTGGTAAAAACTTATCCATACTTACTAAACTTCGTTGATAATAATGGTAACACTGCTTTGCATTCTGCAGCATGCCGTGGTGATATTGATTTAATTATGTTTCTATTGGAAGAAGGCTTAAATATCAATAGCATAAGAAATGACGGTAAAAATGTTCTACATATGTGTTGCATGAATGGTATGATAGACACGTGTAAGTACTTGGTCAACACATATCCCTATTTACTTGCTGTCAAAGACAAAGATGGTCATAATACCTTGCATGCTACAGCCGGCAGTGGCAACATTGATCTGCTTAAGTTCCTGTTAGAGAAAGGCTTAGATATCAATAGCACAAGAAATGACGGGAAAGCTGTGCTACATCTGTGCTGTATGAACAGTATGACAGATATGTGTATTTGGTCAACACGTATCCTCAGTTACTTGATGTCACTGACAATGACGGTGAGAATGTCTTACATGATGCATCCTGGGGTGGTGACATTAATATAGTTAAGTTCCTCTTACAGAAAGGTTTAAATGTCAATAGCACGAGAAATGACGGGAAAACGGTGCTACATTTGTGCTGTATGAATGGAAAGATAGAAATGATCAAGTTTTTGGCCGACACATATCCCCACTTACTGTGTAACACGGATAATGATGGAAACAATGTAATACATGCGGCAGCGTGGAGTGGAAACATTGAATTGCTAAGTTTCCTTTTAGATAAAGGACTAGATATCATCAGCATAAGTAATGATGGAAAAACTGTGCTTCATAAATGTTGTTTGAATGGTAAAGTAAACATGTTTGAGTACCTGTATACCATTTATCCTCACTTAATACATATCACTGACAATGATAGTAAAAATGTATTACATGATGCAGCCTGGGGTGGTAACATTAATATGCTAGAGTTCCTCATAGAAAAAGGCTTAGATATCAATAGCACAAATAAGAACGGAAAGACTGTATTACATCAATGTTGTGTGAAAGGCAATTTATATACGTGCAAGTACTTGGTCAGAACTTATCCTTACTTACTGAATGTCGTTGATAATAATGGTAACAATGCCTTGCATTCTGCAGCATGTCGTGGTGATATTGATTTGTTTGTGTTTTTATCAGAGAAAGGCTTAGATATTGATAGCACCAGAAATGACGGGAAAAATGTGCTACATATATGTTGCATGAATGGTATGATAGACATGTGTAAGTACTTGGTCAATACTTATCCCCATTTACTTGTTGTCAAAGACAAAGATGGTCACAATGTCTTACATGATGTAGCCTGGAGTGGTAACATTGATCTGCTTAAATTCCTCTTAGATAAACTAGATATCAATAGTGCAAGAAATGACGGGAAAACTGTGCTTCATCTCAGTTGCCGGAATAATAAGATAGACATGTGCAAGTACTTGATCAATACATATCCTCAATTACTTGATGTCACTGACAAGCCTGGCCAAACTGCTTTACATGATGCGGCCTTTGGTGGTAACATTGATCTTCTTAAATTCCTGTTAAAGAAAGGGTTAGATATCACAAGAACAATATATGACGGGAAAACTGTGCTACATCTGTGTTGTAGGAAAGGTAAAATAGACCTTTGCGAATGTTTGGTCAAGACATACTCTCAGTTACCTTATGCTAAAGACAATAATGGTCACAGTGCCTTACATGATGCAGCCTTGGGTGGTAACGTTGATCTGATTAGGTTCCTGTTAGAGAGAGGATTAGATATCAATAGCACAAGAAATGACGGGAAAACTGTTCTGCATCTGTGCTGTATGAACAGTATGACAGATATGTGTAAGTACTTGGTTAAAATGTATCCTCTGTTACTTGACGTCTCTGACAATGACGGTGAGAATGTCTTACATGATGCAGCCTGGGGTGGTGACATTGATATACTTAAGTTTCTCTTAGGAAAAGGTTTAGATATCAATAGTACAAGAAATGACGGGAAAATTGTGTTACATCAATGTTGTCTGAACGGTAAGATAGATATGTGTAAGTACCTGGTCGATGCTTATCCTAATTTACTCGATATCACTGATGATAGTGGAAACAATGCCTTGCATGCTGCGGCCTGGTTTGGTAACATTGATCTGTTTTTAACTTCCTGTTAGAGAAAGGCTTAGATATCAATAGCACAAGAAATGACGGGAAAAATGTGTTACAACTGTCTTATATTAACAGTAAGATAGAGTTGTGCAAGTACTTGGTCAACACGTATCCCATCTTAGTAGGAATAGAAGACAATGGTGGCTAGAAAGTATTTCTTGATGCAACGTTTAGAGATCACAACGACATCATCAATTAATGTTAGAGACGTACACTTCATTGGCATGGGAATATAGTATATATTAAAACGTCGTTATAGAATATTTATTGATTAAATAATACTTGTAAGTTAAATAATTGTAAATGTTATGATGTGCTTTATGTAAATAATTTGTAGGTCAGGAATAATTACGGCGAAAGTGTTTCGCATTCTGTTGCTTTAAAATGCTATGTTATTTAATATATTTAAGATTGAAGTGAGTTCTTAGATGGCTACAGAATAAGGAATTGTAAAATTTCTGTAATATATATGTTTCCATATAAAGAAATTGTGCGGTCATTCATTAGAATATATATTTTTATTGTTGATGTACGCATTTTTTAAAACTGTCGAAAATTTTGATTTAAGAAGAACGGTCTCGAACTTGTTACTTTAGGACGTATATTGTTATCTTTTTAGACAAGTGCTTTATACGTGTATGTATATAAGTAAATATATGTAACTTACTTTTTCCTTTAACTAAATATAATACTGTGAAATCACTAATTTTCGTGGGGGTTAAATTTATCTATACTACAGCACAATGACAATAATATAAGAAAATCTTTGGTTTAATTTATTATACTGTATTATCATTGTGTATGTTTTCTTGCATGAACTAAATTTGTACCAAAGTTTTGATCTTTTTATCAATTTGGGGGAAAATTTTGCGATATAATTTTATTAGTACATCAAGAAAAAAGGCTATTTGTTTAACAACAATGAATTTTTGTTCTCGCAGAACTGCTTTTAAAATCAATTACATGCATGTCCACGGTCACTTAATGAACACCAATGCTGCAGCAGACCTTCTATAAGTACAAATAGTACATGCACAGGAAATATAATGTATAGCGACAATATGTTTCAGACTTGTTGGACAGGCAGTGTAGGGAAACAGAGGAGCGGAACAACATATTCTGTATTTTGTTAATGTTTACAAAAATGTTAAAACTCTTTATTTTTTTGTATATAAGATGGTAATTAAAGTAAAACAAATTGTTAAAAATTTATACAAGAACTGATGGTTTACCCGTTTTGCACTTATATAAAGGGAGACTATGACGTAGTTAAACAGAGCCATGTGACCATGTGTCCTTCATCCCCTTAAGTCCAATCAGTCAGAAAAGCACATGATTTTTCTCAAAGGAAATTAGTAAGTTAAAATCTTACACAAAATCTTACTATTAGTTCGAAAAGGCTACTGATTAACATGTACAATTTTTACCTTACAAACTGACTGCCAAGGTTGCATTGCATCGATCGTGCATATTCTTACAATTTGATTTTAAAATGGCTCCAACATGAGTGCATAACTACCCTGCAAAATTATATAGCGTTTAAGTGTCCTGTAAGCCAATGACAAAGTTTGTAAGTTTTTTGAAAAGTTTATTAAACTACCGTGATCGTATAGATTTTTCAATGCTTTTTTCTGAAATGTCACCAGAATAGACCAATACGCTGGTTGTAAAAAAAGTTTTAAAGATCCTTCCCAAATATTTAAGAAGAGCGTAGAACTAAAACTCCAAAAGTAATAATTAAGGTGAGATCCAAAAAATTAGAGTCCAAAAAGTATTCAAAAAAGTAAAAGAAAAGAGAAACTTTTTTTCGGCAAAATAGGGTATATTGTGCTCAGAGCGTATTCATGGTCCCGGATCTAAAAATACTTTACATTGGCTGTCTTACCATTGCCATGCCACCTACGCTTTGTCCGTAGGTCTGTCCGTTGACCTATGAACCCCAACATGGCACCACCCCCCAATCCAGGTATACCTACTTTAATAATATTTATGGACTCCGTTCCCATCTCTGCACCACAGGAGTTCTAGCCCTAAGCTCTTTTATTTATCTACCTCAAAGTTTCCAATTTTATTACTCTTTGTCAAGGATCTTAATAGTTACTTTGCATTTCCGTTCAAATTTTATTACTTAGTATCGATGGACTTGATTGGTCTATTCTGATCAATTCCATTACAAAATAATTTACAAAATTATAGTTCATTATACCAACAACAAAATCCAATTTGTTCTAACAAGATAATTATAGTTCATGAACATAAAGCCCCTTTTCCAATTATAAAGTCACCGTATGTGGTACACTAATATTGTACATCCTTGTTTAATAAACCTTTATTTTATTTTACTGTCACCACTAAGTTCACTATTAATAACTAAAATGATTAGGATACGAATATAGTCCAAGTTTAAAATGTTCAGATAAAATGTCTATTCTAAACCCTATAGGTTAACAGTCCAATTGCGCGCTCTATATCTATTCTAGATCGAGAAAATCTCATAATTTTAGTGGTTGCATAGGCGACCAACTGCTTTTTGAAAGAATTTTAAAAGTTTAATGTGTTATCTTTCGATGTATTTTCGCTTTGAATGAGAACGACACGTGCACGGTCAGTCATATCATCGCCAAACTCAATATAAAAGTTAAATTAAAAAGGCATAATCTAGAACATTTTCCATGTCAGATATACTATCTGTAAATAAATCAAAAACGAAACAGGAGATCTCTGGAGTTAAAGTTACAATATATTTAAAGGTATTAGGATGTTTGTAATTTGAGTATGTAGTTTTTGTGTAGATGATGAAAATGTTTTTGTTAAAAAATTCTTTGTAATTTTTTTAACGTTTTGCCTTCTTAAATGTTGAAAGCCTTTAGATAAGTTCTGCATGACTTGCTCTCTGGAAAGCCATTTAATTTGAAATGCGTATGTCAATGTTCATCAGACACAGCCTGATAGTATATATTAAACACATGGAACTTTTAAAAATAACAGATGTATCACTAAGAGATTTGGTATCATCTTTTTATATTATCGTAAAAGAGAATCCAATAAAGTTTTTTCTTTAGTAACACAAAGCGTCTAAGTCCTCATCTAGCATAGTCTTTAAGTATGAAAATTCTTATAATTAGATAGCCACTAGAATTACAGATGTACGTGTACATACCACTGAATAAGAATTTGAAATAATTCTTAAGGACAGTTTCTTTCTTTTTTTTTTTTTTTTGAATTAAAGGCGTTTTTTTTTTAAATTTAATCTACATCACAAATAAGCAGACATGGCTTACATTTAGTTTATTAGCTTGGAACGCTAGTGCTTGTCTAAGTTCTATTCCAGTACACCATTTAGGATGCCTTTAACTTCAACACATTGAAGATGGTTGCAAACAGAGCCAATAATATTGCTGTAAAGACTAAGCGTAACTGTATCTATAAAGCATACTGGGAGCACATGAGCACAATATTGTACTATACGTTATCCGTTCAAATGAACACCAGATCCACAAATCTGTGTCAAGATATTTGTGGAATATTTTACACTTCAATACGTAGATTACAGTTAAAAGTCTTCTATGGAAGATGTTCATAGGCCTTTCTAATATTTACAGGAGCTGTGGTTTTTGAGTATGTTATCTGTCAGTAGTCTTCTCTGTGTGAACCCTTACTCTGTAAGCTGTTATCTTTATGTCAGACATCACCCTCATGTCCAGGTTACTTTGGGTTGAAACTGAAACACCAGCCATGTGCTCAGGTCTAGCATCTTAGTAGTCATCCATTGAAATTAACAAATAAACATCTGACATTTATTCTACTTTTCATAGATTAGACATTTTAGATGTATCGGTTTGTTCTTGCATCCATGCAGTTTGAGACTGACATTCTCATGGATAGGGGTAAAGCTCAGTGGAGCGATAATAAATAAGGTGTGCGCTTCAGATATACACATCTTAATTAATGGGGATTAATGTTCCTGGCATGGGTACCCAAAATTATCTTTTCCGTGGGGAGGTTATTTCGTGGGCTACTTAATTATACGGTAGATTCAAGGAATCAAAATAAACGTTTGTGGGGATGTGAATTCCTGGATAGGTGTGACCCACGAAATCCGCGAAATTGGTCCCCCACGTACAATGATGATACCACAGTATTTGTTTACATTGTCGTCCGTCTAAAATTTCCTATCACATCCTTTTCCGAAATTATACAGTGTTGATAAAGTAGACGGAATATTCCGTAGTCAGATTAAGTATAAAAAGTATTTTATGTCTGAAGCGCACACCTAGATGTTACTTACTTTAAGTTACTGACCTAGATCGTAGATTAAAATATGAGCTAAACATGCACATGTACCTTTAAACATAACGAAGAAAATGCAAAAGTTTATCAACGATTATTACGTTAAACAATGGTCATTGCTACTTGAAGGTTGTTTAGGAATACCTTTAATTCTTATCTTAGTTAAATACGCCAAGTTGTTCAAATGATTCTGAATTTAAAATTTTTCATTCTTTCTTGTTTCATGTATTCATACACCAATATCACATACATGAAACACGAAATGCTTTTGTTTTTTAAATCACAGATTTAAAATCCAGACTTTTTTTTTTAAACCCGGAAGCTAGAAACTGAGATAAAACCAGTGTTGACAGGCACTTGCAAAGGAAATAAATCTGTAACACAAAAATATTTTTCATAATAAGATTTATTAAATTTAATGTTTTCATGTATTATGTAGTAGAAATACATATATTAAGTGGAAAAGTGAGTTGTTTTTTTTAAAAGCAGACAGTATTATTTTCAAGTGAATACAGTACATCTTAATATTTACTGAGTTGTTAATCTGTGTAGGTCTTGAAAAATGTCTTTGTCACATACATATTAGATCCTATTTGATTATTTAAGAAATGAATGTAATATTATTTTTTCTTTGATTGAAGTATCAAAGAAAAATTTGCTTAGAAGAATGGTCGAGCCTAGGAGTCTAGGAAAAGACTTAATGAATAAGTAGGTAGAAAATTTAGAAAAAACCATTCGGTGACACCACAGCCTGGTATTGACTACGTTTATAGACAACCTGCGTACCATGGTTTTTTTTTTTTTTTTGTTTGTTTGTTTGTTTGGTTTTTTTTTTCTTCAAATTTCCTGTTAGGGCTCGTTTGCTTGTTTAAAAGCTTTTTCTTGAACTATGACAAGATCTTTTCCATTTT